CCTGCAGGTTCTCGGACCTTGGGTGCCAGAATGGTGGTGCCCAAAGTCAGTTACTGATGTAGATTCTGCGCAGATAACAAGCATCTTAGTAGGGTCAGGACCAGGAACCTCATTGAGCACTTTCAGGCTTGGCAGCCCCAGGGCCAGAGACTTCATCCAAACAAACGTGCGAGCCTTGAGGCCAACAGTTGTGTCATTTGGCCTTGCACGGAACCATGCACGAAAGTCCTATACCCTCCAAAACGTCTGCAGCTGTAACAAGTCGCGTAATCTGAGCTTCCTCAGGTTGATCACAGGTTGCTTGGTCTTCAACAGTTTTGCCCGACGTAAATCGGGCACCAGCTTCGAAAAAAAGTAAGTGCGTAAGTTCGTGCTCCGTTCTTTCGGTTAGAGTCGGTTCAGCCGGCGTTGCAAGTCCCTGTGGCCTTCTAACGGCGGGTAGTCGTGAGGACATCCTAAACTCCTGAAATCTGCATCTCAGGGAAGCAATCCTCTCACTAAAGCGCGATGCCTTGGAGGTGCTCAGGGCAAGGTGAAACTCACTGGGGCCTAGGATTATCTAGGGTTGAACTTGAATCAGAGGTGTGGGGTCCCGGGGCTTAGGGATTGAAGGCTCAGGGAACTTGGACAGCAGCCTTTAAGTCCAGGTGCAGTTAGGACGGCCGATTCGTGAAGTTCCCCGGATCGTTGAGTACAGCCTTGGCTGCCACTTTTACAGAAAGCCCAGGCCCACGCGGGGTTTAATGTTCACCTGTTCACCGGTGGGCGGAGTATGGAGTCCATAATGGTCCACTCTCAATACAAAAGTGTTTCATATCCCCACCAGGGCCGGCTGATAGGGCCTAGTCGCCCATCGAGGCAAGGAATGGAGCCTGATGCTCCCTTGACGCTCGCAGCTTCCCCTGCGGGGCCACTGCCATACCGTCGCCCATGGAATCCCATGAAGCCCCATCCAAAAATCCTGCAAACCCGCTGTGAGGTAGTAGGCAACGCACAGTCTCACTGCCGGGAAGGTTGCATAGAGACTGCTGTGGAGTTGTCCCCACAAGCAAGGCGAGAACATGCTCACATGTGTAGCCCCGTAGCCCATCACAGCCAACATCTACCGCAAGATGAGCACAAGCATTGGTGAGGGGTGACTCGAGCTGTTCGTACGAGGGCTGGAGCATAGCCCCCTGCCTTCGTTTGCAGACCGGTACCGGCTGTGCTTACAGAGACCCTACAACCAGCTGCAGACTTCCCCCGCCCACCAGCGGCAGGGTTAAGTTAAGGTATCGACCTGAATGAAGGTACGGGGCTGTGCAAAAGGTTCCAATCTGCAGCTGCGTCTGTCTTTGTCATCACTAGTGTAGGATCGCAAATGTAGACTGCAACAAATGTTATGATGGAGATTCCTGCTGACCGCTTTCGGACATGTCGGGGTATGGTGTCAAGAACTAGGCCACCCCACCCAAAAACGATGAACATTGCGGACGGTACCGCGGCAGAATCACGAGCTGATAGTTTGTGTGCAAGCCCGTTTAGTGCGGAATGCATGCCATTTTGGATCAAGAATGACGATGTTGGTAGTGCTTAGACGTAGTTAGTCTGGCAATGTCGTTTTTCAGTACGTCAGCCGTGGACAGCAACTCATGAGCGGACTCCTGAGATTTCATAGTGTTTTCATTTCCGTTTTATCCAATTTCATGTTTGCGTGAATGTCCTAGTGTGAAACCAAAACAACCAGGTAGCATAGAAGTCGGTCTGGTTACGGGATTCCGTCGTAGTTGCCGTCACACCTGGCTGGTCAAAGCTTACTCTTCGCAATATGCGGAATTTGTTTCACATTTTAGACTCCTAGACCACCTTGACGCTGTTTTCTCGGCCAGTTACATAGTGAGGTTGAACAAATTTTAGCGAGCCAATCAGATAAGCCAGGTTGCACCCAAGCCTCCCTTGCCCATGACCAGGTGGACATGGCAGGGACCCTGACAAAGCTGTGCTTTGGCAGCGATGGAGCTTTCAGAGCTTGGGGTGTGCAAAAAGTATTGGATTCCAGATGAGAGCCTGTCATTTTGGAAATGCTTGTTTCGGACCCGTTTGAAGGAAACGACCCGCCGCAAGATTTGGCTCCAAGCAATTCCTGTCCCACAAGTGCCTGCTGAGACGATCCGCAAAGATCTCGGACATGTCCGCCGCTCAGGTAATTTGCTTTGCAATGGTCTTGGCAGGACGGAGCGTTCTCTGTATGTGCTGGGTTGGAGTAGCGATGTTGCCAGTTTCAAGCGCAGGGTTTAACAGACCTGCCGTGCACCGCAGGAGCACAATCCGCGATGATGCTGAAGGCGGAGTACTACCAGAACACTGGATGTACTGGCACTGTGTATTCAAGCCGCCACATTCCGGATGGCAGCTGCAGCATGGCAGGAAGCGGTGACAGTGCGGTCTACGTGAAGTACGGTTGTGATGGTGGAAACTACACTATCACAAGCTACGATACCGCTGGCTGCACCGGAAATGTGGTGAATTCGGCGAGCAATACGTTCGGCACCTGCAACACGTACGAGAAGTACGTCTCTTGCGTGGACATGACAACCTATACGATTGCCCAGTACAATTCTAGTGGCTGTGGTGAGACCAACCTCCAAACGGAGATGCAACAAGTGACGGGCTGCAATCCATCCGGCAGGGCAGACAACGGCGTCATCACATCCACTGCCTCAACCCAGATCCACCTTCATGGCGACAAGCTCGAATACAAATCCTACAACGCGAGTTTCGACTGCACTGGAACCTACCAGGAGGTGGAGATGACTTGCGGTGGGGTCTGTGTGAATGGGTCTACGTCTGACTTGCTGCCTGACGGGTCCTTCTTCGCATATACAGGCGCCTGCCAAGGGGCTTTCTCGCAAGCATCCCAAATGGTTGCTTTCGGAGCAGCTGGCATCGCGATGCCTCTTGCCCTTGCTCTATTCTAGGCTGCGCATCGTTTTCAGACTCAGTGCGAAGCTTCCAACACAATTTTGGGGCCCTCATGTTTCAAATGGCACCGTAAATTCGCTCAGTGCGGAGTTTGCGAAGTACTTTGGGGCCCTCATGTTTCAAATGGCACGGTCAATTCGCTCAGTGCGGAGTTTGTGAAGGACTTGGGGCCCTCATGTTTCAAATGGCACCGTCAACGCTCAGTGCGAAGTTCGCGAGGTAGTTTGGGGCCTTCATGTTTCTGAACGCTGGGGGCTGAACAGATACCTCGGCAGCAGCTTGATAATGCAAGCAATGGCTCTGTACAAATCTGTAGCTGCGTAGCTGTCTGGATTTCCTCAATGTGCGAAACCGGCTGCTCTGGAAGAAAGGTATTGCGCGAGCTTCTTGGCTGACAGCGTTTTTGCGTATTCCCAGGTTCTGCCACCCATCTTTGTTGCCACTGCTTTGAGGTGCTTTTTGTCATGGAGGCCACGGCGAAGCTGGAAGTCAAGGAGCCGCTGCAGCTGGGAGCCGAGTGGTCTTCTCTGGCCGGGTCTCAGGTTTTCAGGCAGGGTTAGAGTCTAGGCACGATTTGCATCTTTTCGATGCGTTGACAAGTCTCTGAGTCTAGCTACCTTGGTCTGGCTTGGGGAATAGTTGTAGCTATTAAGGAGGTTCTGAGCATGGGTGTGCTACTCCGAGGGTTTGGGTTCAAAGGTTCCGCAACCTAATTCGAAGGCTTGCAAGGTTGATCCTACCAACACCCTACCGTACCATACGCAGGCAGGCATTTTCGTGAAATGTATTCGCGAGCCTTCTCAACGAAGTCTGGTCTGATGGATATGGGCCCTTGTCAACACGGAGTGATGAAGCAGCGAAAGGTGCAGACTTCCAGCTTTGGCTGATGCGTGCCTGACAAAAGTGTTTAGAAGAGACAACTTCTTGAAGTCATTAAGGCTTCATTTTGCATGAAACCCTGATGTAGGCTATGCATGTCAAGGAAGAGAGGCGACTGTACATGCTGTTGCTAACAATGTGACATGTCCATACCAGCTTGTTTTGCCACAAAGATCAAGTCCTTGGTAGGTTGGTTCGGACTTCCTAGCGTGCTGATGGTTTGTACATTTGGGAACCCTTCAGTGGGATTTTCCTAACCTTGCGACCTGGACGGTCCATCAGATACAAATTCTCAGTAGAGATGCTCCGCAAAGTTTACTATGTACGTCTGGAGCACGTGATGCACCAGAATGGTGTATTTACACGGTCGAACAAAGCTAGGTAGAGAAAGACCCAAGTTATGACCAGGTAATGTACTGGTGTCTCATGTCATTACAGCTGATAGAGAACACTGGCGTTAGTTTTCCGACCCTTGCTCGAGGAGAGTTTAAGAAAGCTACAAATTTGCAAAACGGACGGCCCTGAATATAGCCTAAAGTCAGAGTAACGTCTGTATTACAAAAATTCGTGGTTGACCTAGTATGACCATGAGAAAGCCCCGCCGCGTGTTAGCACAGGTGATGGGGATGCTGCCGGCGAGTTGCCCTGGAATCCGCAGTTGTGCTGGTGAAGCCATCATGCCGACCTGCGAGTGCCAAAACAAACGTTGCCTGTGTCGCTGAGAAGCAGGATCCACAGGTGTTGCGATGCCTGCCCAAGTGCTGAGTTGCGATGCACATGGTTTCTCTTATCATGTCGAATCTAGTGTGCAAGAACGCCCTACATTGCAGGAGGAGTTGTTAGCATGGATGTCCAGGGAGCTATGCCTTGGCGTTGCCGTTGGAGTTTTGCCTGTTTGACTGTTTGTGCGCGGGCAAACTTTGCTTCAAGTGTCAGATTGAACCTTCCAAGTATGACCAGATGAACCTAGCAAGCAGGTAGAGTGCTTGATAGAATGGAATTATATCCATTACAGGCTTTTACATACTTGTACACCGCAAGCATAACAAGGTTGTTTGGGCCAACCTCAGAGCTGTTGTTTTGTGATAAGGGCCGTATCTGTCTAGTTGAATCCTGGATGGCGTTGATGCAGAAGACGAAGTCTGCCTGCTCATGCTAGCATGGCGCTTACAGCGTGGAGGTTTCTTGCTGGGCTGAGCTTGGTAACAGCTCAGAATGTCATCATTCAGAGCGTTCCGCGGACAGTGCACACAAGAGTTGGCATCATGAACGACTCGCCAACTGCAGGGCCGTGGGTGGTCTACGAGTTGAGATTGTATTATTCAGCAAACTGTGATGAGGAAAGCAGGATAGTTCCGTTTTTTGCGGATGTTTACCACTCTGGCACACACCGTGAGACGGAATTCTCAACAATAGGTTCCAACGCTTTTGATGGAGCTCCCTGGACGAACTGGACTTCAGATTGTCGTGTGAATTTGGGCGGGTGCGAAGCCCGAACGGTCGGCCTGGGTGTTGATATTGCTTCGTCCAGTGGCTATGAGGCGGCTGCACTGAGAAAGGATGATTTATGGAATGTCACAGGGCCTTTATTTGATGCAATCACAGTGAAATGTTTCATGATATGGCAGAGCAATGACCCGAGGTATAAGTGCAATGATGTTGCCATTGTCAGAGGATACCCAGATCGTAATTCTCATACTTACGAAAGTGTCCAGGTGTTCCATGGTGTGAGTGGTGGGGGTTGGTCAAGACGCCCAGCAAATTTGAACACCTTATGGCGCATGAAGAATCTGGAAGTGACCATGGGCACCTGGAGCTTAGCCGAGCTTCGTTTCTATGAGGATGATTTGTGTACGTTCCCACTGGAAGGGCAAGCATTTTCCATAGGGAGTGATGTTCCCCTGACTGAGAGCGATGTTAATGCCTTTGACAACAACATCTCCAGTGTCTGGACCGCCAAATGCGATCCCGTACCTGGATCCAGAGCAGCTGAGATTTGGGGCGATGGCTTCCGGTTTCACGGTTGCGAGCCTGAGCAGGCGTACATAGGTTTGGAATACCAAGAGTATGTCACAGTAAGATGTGTCCGCTTCTTCCAGAAAGCTCCCCGTGACATCTCAGAGCGCGAACAGAGGCGATCCTGGTCCGGAGGCTTTGCATTGCAGAGATGGTCTGGAGAAGAATGGGTCATCACAGAGCAATTCTGGGATCCTAACTACACTTCCTACAATGGCTTCTCGCCCACGATTGAGTCACCGTTCTTGGGGAACGCTCCCGGAGTCTGGGAAGATTTGCGGCCTCCCACATACTCATGCTGGCGTTTAATGAATGATGACTACACCCGTGGTCAATGGACAATTTTGGAGCTGGAGTTCTCGGTCTCTCAGTATTGTGAGGATTTGCCGGATGAGAAGCTTAGAGGCTTCCCACTTGCAATGCAAGGTCCGCGAAATCTAGAGAACCGAATGGTCTTTGATGGAGACCTTCGACAGGACTTGGTGTGGCGCTCAAGTTGTACGATGGGTCCTGGTGGAGACTCTTGCATTCCTGGTGAAGCATGGATCGGAATCTATGTGCGTGGTTCACAACCAGATGTCAAATGCTTCCGCATTCTGCAGTAGCTTGCCTCAGGATTTGCTACCTTGGGGAGTGTAGCTGGCGGGTGAAAGGTGAAGGTCTCATGTTGAAATCCAAAATGTTATTTTAACAAGGAGCATTAGTAGTGTGACGGAACTTTGAAGTTGTTTGTTTGAAGGAGTAGGCCGCACATGTGGATAGCCGCATTGTGTGTCATTGATCTAAACTCGGTGCATGCTCGATTGAGGTCCAAAGAGCTCGAGGAGCAATCGGCATTCGTTACCATGGGCATGTATGTTATGGGAAACTGGCAACTGCACAGCTACCACAGGGAGATTGGGGGTGGAACATGGAATCGTCGGCCGGCACCGGCGTGGACACTCTGGCGCGTCCGGAACAATGAAGTTATCGATGGTCAGTGGAGAATTCCTGAAATCCACGCTTACCGTGATCCTTTGTGTCTCGTGGACATGACGCCAGGCAATCCTCTTGCTTCTGGGTACTTCACTACGGAAAGCCCTGCACAAGCGATGGACAACGATGCCAAGACTCATTGGACTGCCTGTGGCAACTGCAACGAGACGCGTAAGTACTGGATCGGGATGGAACTTCCTGCAAACGCTGATGACGCGTCGGCAGAGCAATTTTTCATCCGCTGCTTCAAAGTCTGGCAAAGTGAGCAGATGAACGAACAAATGGTCAGTGTTCAGGTCCAGATCTGGAATGGAGACATTTACATCATGTCGCCAATCACGAAAACTGGTTCGCTGCATGAGTTGGGTGGTGGCGTGTGGAGTAGACCAGCAGCGAGCTTCATGACAAGATGGCGCCTAGTCCCAACTGCTGAAGAGGCTCGAAATTGGCGCTTGCTCGAGCTCGAGCTCTATGCCGATACTGAGTGCAAACAGCGATTGCCAAGGGCGGACCGTGGTGGTGGTGGCACAACTGTTTTAGCTTCAAGCTACATTCCATTTGTCACTGGCTTTCGACGCTCAGAGCAGGCAAAGTTGTGGTCAGAGGCTGAATTGGTCACAGACGGCGACCCCGAGACCGGGCTGTTGTTAGAACATGTGCCTGGTATGTCTCGCAAAGCTTACTTTGGCATAGACTTCTTGTCTGGCTCCGTGTGGGTCAGATGTGTGAAGTTGATGCAAGGTTCCATGCCGTTGGAGTATGTGTCCTCAATGACCTTGCAACTATGGGATGGCTTGCAATGGAGACACGAAGATCCCGAGATGTCTGAGTTCGAGGTTCATCTCAATGGTCTTGGTGGAGGCGGCTGGCAGCGCAGGCCTGCGCAGCCTGGGTCCATGTGGCGCGTAGAGAACGCCGATTTTGTCCCGCAAGGCTGGGCAATCTACGAGGTGGAGTTCTACCAGGGTGCAGATTGTACTGCAGGCAAGTTGGCCGGGGATGTCATTGCCAGTGGCTATGCGCCGCCTTTGAACGAGCGGGGCCCAGGATTTGCGGTGGACGGAAATACCTCAACAGTATGGATGTCGCAGTGCTGTCCGGTTGAGAACTCTGAGCGTCCTTTGGGCTTTGAGCAGGTGGTGCCAGCTGTAGGATGTGAAGCTGGTCATGCATGGGTTGGCCTAGATCTTGGAGCAAGCAGGTCCGCACAGAATGTTCGCTGCCTTCGTATATTCCAAGCTGGCTTTGAGCTCATGCAGAGCTCGTCAGTTTACGTCTCCAGTTGGGATGGTTCCCAGTGGGTCCAGTCTTGGCGCATGGATGGCTTGGGCGGGAGTGCCTGGAATCGCCGGCCAGCCGCAGGGAACACCATGTGGCGCCTCCTGTACATGTCCCGAAAGGATGTGCCTTGCCCGGCACAATTATCCCGCATCGTGGAGCGGCCATGGGGCGTGGCAGACTTGAGGTTCTTCAGTGACGATGCCTGTGAAGTACCAGTGACAGGAGGAGCTCCGATCACTTCAGGTGGCTTTGACAACTACCTGCCATCAGCTGTAGATCAGAAGTCATATGACACAAGTCGAATGATGGATGACGACAAGCTTACAACTTGGGCGGCCAACTGCAGAACAGGGTTTCATTACGTGGACACCGACCTTACAAACTGCACACACGCGTGGGTTGGAATGCAGTGGGCTGGCGCGCATGAAATCAGATGTGTTTCATTGGTGCAATCACGGTGGGAGTCCGCAAGGTGTTGTGATGCGGCAGATGAACTGACCCTGCAGCGATGGAACGGCTCTGAGTGGGTTGAAGCCTCCTGGTTCCGTGATCCACCCAGACCAGCAGTCCAAACGGAAACAAATGTCAGGGAACCTGCTCATTTGGGAGCAGAATTCCGGAACGTTGGTGAGTGCCCTTCAAGGGTGAGTGAGAAGCGCATGTTTGAAGAAACAATCACAGAAACTCGCACTCGCAAGGACAGCGAGAAGTGTATTGTAAAATTGACTGGAGCAGTGACTCTGTTGGCAGAGCCCTATTGTATCAAGCACCCACAGTGTGTAGATGTTTTTGGAGCTGCAGGAAGTTGCTGCCCTATAGGTGACCTCATTGAAAGCGAAAGTCGCTGTTGCTGCAGCTTTCTGAGTTCGGAGCCAATCTTTGCTGATGAAATAGATTACAGTGACCCACGGGAGAAGTTGAGCTTTGAATATGCCACAATTTGGATGTCCAACATTCTGCCGTGGATTGGGCTGGCTTGCACCATCGCTCTGTACCTCGCTGCCATCCTCTTCCCTGCTGACATGGAGGATCGTGCCAGAAATTGGGTGAAGAAGGACATAGGATCAACCTCGAGGAAGGTCCGCAGGCAGCTGTTTTGGAAGAGAGTTGTAGTGGTTGCTTTCTGGCCTTTGCTAGCCTGGCGGACTTTCCTGGCAAGCGGCAAGACTCAAACCAGCAAAATTGTTCGGTGGTTCATTTTGCCTGACGGGCGACTCCCAAAGCCGCTGGAGCTGTATCGATCACTTATCTTTCTGGTTTTTGGCTCCTTGCTGAGTGGTATGGCACCTTGGCTTCTGCTTGGAGCGATCTTCGGCGAAATGATGATCTGGCTTGCGCTCCAGCTATGTCAGGTTATTCGGTACTTTCAATCGCCGTTTGACCCTCTCGATCTCAGAGACATGCAGCTGCGCCAGGAGGTGTCCAAGGTCATGGTCAGAAATGATGAGGCGATGGACACTGCATATGACATTGCCGCGGGGGTTGCAACAACCTGCGTGTTTGGCCTTGCCTACTTTGGTAAGTTCATCTTTGATCTTTTGATCGTTCGTGCGCAGATGTTGTCCTTTGAAGCCATTGAGAACATCGAGGCTGATCGTGTCGTAGAATTGTTCCCAGGCTTGTTAGAGACTCTGCGAGAGCCAGCGATGCTGATCTATGACATCCTATTCTGGGCCAGCCAGCTGATTTCCCTGCTCCTGGGGAATCTGGTTGGGATTCCCCTATGTGAGGGTTCCACCGCGCTGGTGGGTTCTGTAGCACTTGTTATGATCTTGTACGGGGCATCTCAATGGCTGAACTATGACCTCTTCGGGCTCTTCGTTGCTGCTCGGCAGGTAGTGAAGGCGACTCGCCCAGAGTGCCAACGGATCATGGCCCAATCACTTATCTTGCTCTGCCTCGGGGCATCCTTTGCAGCTGTGCAGATGACCATGGTTCTGTTTACTCGTGCCCTTGCTTTTGCAAACCCTTTTGTGGCTTCCACTTGGGTTTGCGGATATGACGACACTTTAGCCATTTTCGTGGGCCGCATCCTGCTCTCGGGGTCTTCCATTGTGGGCTTGATCTTTGTGTTCCTCTGTGTGAATGGGCATTTCGTTGGCCAGGACTACATCACAGAGAGGGTGGCGCAGTTTCTGGGGATAGACTTGGCTGCTCTAGATCCAGATGGAACAGGAGATGAAGGTGGCATGTTCCGTTTCGACGTTTTTGGTGCTGCTTTGCCTACCTTGTTTGGGATTTGGTGGGATCCCTGGAACATTGATGCCTACTTGGTACGTGAGCGTGCGCATGTCTACTCCATGGAGCTTCGTGATCCGCAGGCATGCAAGCATTGTGAGAAAATCCATGTGAAGTACGAGCTCATGATGACTGCAACTGGGAGAACAGTCAGTGCTGCTGTGCAGATCGTCCCGTATGGAGCAGTTGTAGCAAAAGCGTGTGAATATTTAAATGACCCGCCGCTGATCTACATCGGTAACAAGATGTCTTGTTTGAAAGTCCGGAAGGTCGAGCGATATGCGACTCGTGGCTCCAAGAACTTGATCATAAAGAGTTACCTCTTCCTGGCTGAGCTGCTTGCATATTCAATTGAATTTCTTGTTCCGCTGCTGAGGCGTGTGACCAGCGTTGCCACATTAGTGTACCTCATGCTGGGGACCTTCACACTGACTGAGCAGAACCTGGTAGACCAGGGTACGATGGTCATTCTGGCAGGCTTCGCATTGTCCTTCGTGAAGGCATCGCTGGAAAAGCTTGTGCCATCTCTCCTGAGCTACGGTCTCGGTGGTGTCTACTACGCTCTCAGCCGAGCTGAGGGAGTTGTGTCTCGGGCTCATGAAGTACCGAGAACCATTACAGGTCAGATGCTTTCAGGAGCTGCAGCAGCCACGTTGGTTTCTGGAAGCATTCTAGCAGCTGAATGGGGATCAGCCGTGTATGCGGTGATTATGGGCTCCTGCGTTGGCTATGCCTTCAGTCTTATGACGCTTCTGGTCAACGTATTGTTTGAGCAGCCGTCTCCTGACATTGATGACCCGCCAACCCAAAGCATGTTTCAGTTGCTCATGAAGCTGCTTTACTCCTTGGTTTCGGGCGGTGCGCTCGGAGTTGTTACAATCTATGCAGGCGAGGCAGGCTTGGCTGCAGAAGGCAATGTCGGTGACGCTTACGAATTTCAGAACACACTAGGAAGTCGGTGGACTTTTCGGGGCAGTATTGGGCTCGGAGTTTTTGCTATTGCGATTCAGTTCATCACGTTCCGACTGATTCTCGTTGAGAACCTGCCTCCAGTCATCAAACAGAGCGTTGATCCACCATACGTTTGGAGAGACTCACCGACATGGGTCGTGTTAAGAACTGTTCAGTTCTTTCCCGGCCTGGCAGGTATTCCAACTTGTACTCTGGTGTCAGTTGTCATGCGGGACTTCGTTCGATCTGGCCTTCCTTTCTTGACTCCCATAGAGCAGCAGTTCGTAATGGTTGGAGCTGGGATTGCCTTGGCAAATCTCTCTGCTTTGACGGTGCACAGATTACTCGGCAGCCTTCCTCAGCTTCTTGGTTTCTTTTCTTGTATTTTGGCCGCTTGCCTGCTCTGCCCGTGGAACATGCTATTTGGAGCCTTCACTGCAGTCTGGATAGGTGTTGCCGTCGGCAGCATTCTTGAGGAGGTGGTTCTGCGCCGGACCCTGCAACGAGAGATCAAAAGGCGAGAGGCCATGGGCGAAGATGACACCATGTTCTTCGATCAGGAGCGTGCGGCCTGCATGGAAGAATGGGAGAAAGTTGAAGAAGAGGAGCTGCCAGCATTGCCTCCTGAACCAGACCGAGAGGACAAGTTGAACATGTACCTTCAAGTTGCTGCAGCAGGAGGCAGTGCCATTGAGTATGCAAAGGAGGTCCAGGCCGCCCAGGAGTTCCAAGAAGGCCTTGAGGATGCTCCTTACAATGATGAGATAGTGGAGGACGGCTCAGAGATCCATGACAACAGTCTCCTGCGGATAGAGGAGCGGTCAATTTCAGGCCCAAGCTTTCTCATTCTGTGCATGAGACATGTGGCCAATCTTCACATGATCCAAAGCTCTTTTGCACTGTCAGGTGTGGAGGCACAAGAGGAATCGCTACCAGTATGGGATGCAACAACGACCCCGAGTCTGGTACAGGATGAGGAATCCATTCAGCAGGCATGGGTGTTTGAAATGTTGCACGCTGGTTTCCTTTCCTTTTGTGCAGGCATTCCTTGAACCAGGGAAGCGGGATGTGGAGGCTGCCCAGCATGAATTTAACTGAAACGGCGGAACAAGTCGTCTACTGCTCTTGCTTTGCATTTAGCATTTGCTTGAGCCATGGTCCTGACTCGCTCAGATGCTTCTCCGCAAGGCAGACCCCATCGACATGCCGGCTCTCCGCAATGTTGCAGATGCGTCGCCCTTGTCAACAACACATGAGAATTCATGAGGGACAGGACTTAATAATTGGTTTTGGACTGTTTGCCAAGGATGCACCTACTGTCCCTGAAATAGACATGGATGCAGGCCTCCTCTAGTGGGTCAAAATTGCTGGGCCAACAAGGGAACACTGAAGACCATGCTGTCAGCCAGGGCCTCATCCAGATCATTTTGAGGGAAGCCCCTCAGTGGAGATGCCAGGCATGTGGCGAAGTGAACACATGTTGGGAGGGGAGATGTAGACGGAGCCTGAAGGTCCGTGGCAGCCAGGGGCGGAGGAGCTACCCCAAGGCCAGGCGCTCGCGGTCATGGTTTCCAACTTAACTGTCCAGGCTAGTGACTAGCAGCAGCTTCTATGCTGTGTAAACTTGAGGTGACTTCGATCAGATGGCCTCTAGCTCCAGTGGGCCAGCAGAGCTTGAGGATCAACCTTCAGAGCTGCCTCATTTGGCATTGTCCAGGCTGCCAAGGCAAGCACTCGGCACAAAGTCTTTTGTGAAATCTGGGTAGCACTATAGTGGTCCAGCATGTTGAGCGTGATGAAGTCATGACACGCAGTTACGGAATGGCAAGCTCGCGGCAAGCCTCCAGTCGAGCACGTGCTGAGGTGCTTGAGGACTGTGAGCTTGTTCAAACAGGTACTGCAGGTAATGCACACAAACGGAGACAGGTTCGTCGCTAAGGCTAGTGTGAGTCTACATGAGGTCGCTCGGAACCTTGGTGAGTGTTGAAAAAAATCATGTGGGTACATCACGAGTATGGATTCTGCCTGTAATGTGTCGGGGGGCAACCTTTCCTGTTGGTCTTGGATCGCCAGATGGAGAAACATGACCGAACATGTCAGCAAGATTCAGAGGGAAAACGTGAGTCCACGAAACGCCATACGTTGAGGTCTCCAAGATGTGGTTCTGTTGTTTATACACCACAGTGGCCTCTTGGTTTAGACCTTGAATCAGGCGTGTTCTGATTCCTGGGCGGACTGTGAGGGTTTCTGAAGACTGCGTGAACCGGAAGTATGAAGACTTGCTGCAGTCGATCTTGAAATTTTTCACATGCTGCAAATCAGAACCTGCAAGCCGGCACACGGAAGTGAGCCTTGACGCCATCTCGATCTTGGAAAGTCTTATGACACTGCCCTTGGGTAAGGCACTGGCAAGTTTCCGCTAGCGTGGGCAAGGGTAAAAGCATCAACATGTGATGTCTGCTGAGCCCTTCTGTATCGCAGGACGGCTTCGACTTCAGCAGAGAGATGGTTGACACTGATGATTTGCTGACAGAAAGTAAACGCCCTTCAAAAGCAACTTCCATGTGCCTATGCTGCAAGAATGAGTTCAACAAGTCATTGAACACGTTGGGTTGCAATTTGTTTTTCAAAGGCGCTCCGTCGCAACAACCTCAACCGCAATGCCGCCGGTCCAAGCCAAGAGTGCGGCCGAGAACTTACTCGAAACCGTAAACGTGCGAGACTGGATGAGAATGTGGGATAGGGGGCAGATTCTTTTTTGGAGGCTCCAATGTCTCCTACAGGCATGGACATCAATCCAGGACTCAGAAGTGTGAGCCCTTTGTTCCTGCTGTTGGAAGTCTTTAGCAATTCAGTTGCATGCCAAGGCATGCGTCCGCCCCCACAAGACTTGTGGTCCAGAACCCATGGCCCACGACAACCTCCAACTTCGCCGACATTGCTGCTCAACTCTAAATTGAAGGAGTGTAAGGGTGACACGATGTGTTGAGCGTGAACGGCTGCAAGGAGAGGCATGGCACAGCAAGCCCAGTCCGCCTACCAGGCAAAGGCTGCCATGGCGCGCAGGCGCGCTAGCATTTTCACAACCAAGTTGCACTCTGCACCACGTTCAGTCGTGAGGCATGGGTCAAATTGCGGGCAGTGTCATGCCTTGATTTCCAGGTGTTATCCACGTGCTTGTTTGACTCATGCTCCACGAAGCAAGCTGCAGCAATAGCTTGGACTTTTGCAGCAACACTACGCAGCGCAAATCTTGAGGCTTTTCTGCTTGCAAGGGTCAGTGTCACTTGTCCTGGTGCAGGTCTCGCAAGTGACAGCAAGGGCAATCATGAAGCATGAGCTTGGAATTGCTGTTTCATTTTTGCTTGGAGTGTGCATGTTCATCCATATGCTGCTGAAAACAATGCCAGATTCCAAGCTCGTGCACTTCAGCACTTTTCGGCAACTTTTTCATGCATCTCGAACGCGATGCAGTAGCTTAGTCTGTCTATGCAGCTCGCCGCTGTTTGTGCAGCAACAGACTGCAGAAGCACAGCCTGCTAATCTTGTTAACGCATGTCGGCCTAACCGGCATTTTCCACTTCGCCTATGTCAAGCATGTGGCGTGAATCACAAGTCTCACTGTCCAAATTGAACCACCTAATGCATGCTCTAATAAAACAATGGTAATGCAATGCAATGCAATGCAGCTTCGGTCTATGATGCCTGCCTTGCTCTGCGCATGCACAACGGCGGGGCTTGAAGCTCAAATATAGCGTCCAAAGCTGACGCCTTTGACACACTGATTCATGGCATCTGATCTCTCGATTGGCGATGGGCTGCAGCAATTCCGCATTCTGTCAATTTTCTGCCGTTTCAGACTCTGAAGAGCGGGTGCCTGAGGCATCAAGTCCCTGGCATTTTTCAGAAACTGGGACGTGTTTTGCTTTACTTGAGTGGAGGTCCGATGCTTCTTCAAGCTCTTTGCCAGGCCACAGTCCCGGGTTCTCTTGATCTTCTTGCAGCTCTGCGGTGCGGCTGCGAACAGGAAGGCTGAACATCAACGATGCTACAGTTGCAGAGCTTGTGTCACTGCCCGGGATCGGGAGGAGTCGGCTTTGATTGCATGCTTGCCGACACTCTCTGCGTTTGTGGTGTCCTGATCCAGGAAAAAAGCTGAGAACATTGCCAGGGCCTCCTTGACTAATAATCTTTTCGCTGGCTTTGCTGTAGTACAGTTCCATTCTGTTTTCTCATCTCTGTTGCACCTCTGCAGGTTTGCTTTGATGCTAAGGTGGCATACAGAGAAGAGCATGGAAGATTCGAGTCTCTTGATGACTTGGCGGCGGTACCAGGCTTTTGTTTTGCCCTCAGGCTCAGCAGTCTCGTTTTCTCTGCGTGATCCTTGTAACGCAAAGGCAGACGGGGGGTTGACAAGGTCGCGGACATGGTCACGCTGGACGATTCAGGCAAGCGCCTGAGCAAGACGTTGGATTTATGCACCTAGGTTTGCAGCTTAGAGTTCACTCCAGCTATCTCTCAACATGAGGTGATGAATCGGGCTGTTTGGCCTCTTGCTGCTACGCAGGCTGGAACACGGACGCTCTTCATGGTGCAAGTACGGTAGAGATGAACACCGAGTATTTGCATGAAGCTGGACGAAGCCTAAGCGAGAAGCGGGTAAGTGGGGTTCAAAGTTCCAAAGAGCACCGCATGTTGAGGGTACAAGTAACATGATTCCGACTGGGTACAGGCAGCTTGATGTCTGTTTTTGAGGCCACCAAGACAGCAAATTACAAGACGTCCCACACTTAGGATGACTTCCTTGGTCTGTCTATGCTTGGGAAAGCAAGGCAACACCTTTGCATCACCAAAGAATCATAAAGGTGGAACACGATGGCCTGTTGCCACTGTACTTCACAAGCCTGCTCTCTCCTCCTCTCCTCAAAGCGCTTTGCATCAAATTTCTCGGACAGCTACAAGGCAAAGCAGTTGGTATAAATCATCCTTCAGCGCAACACAGCAAATCAGACGCTCATGGCGCAAGATTCTCTGGACATCGTGTTGCTGTGTGGTGAAGCTTGCAAAGGGAGCAACTTTCAAAGGCTTTAAGGCAAAAAGGGGCGCAAGGCTGCCGGATGTTATGCAAATGCTGGGTAACTGTTGAAGCCCTGGCACCCAACCACTGAGCTCCTGGGAAGCCAGCCAAACGGCTTCTAGTTTCTCAGCTATGTGCTTATTCCGCGATATTCACGAGTGCGCAGATTTGCTTTGCAGGAGCTGAGGCATGTGGATCCAGTTGCTGCGCACCTTGCACGGGAGGCGCATTCTGTGAGTGGTGCCTTGTTTCAGCATGTGATAGCAAGTGAAGCGGATTGCCACATGGCGTTGGGCGCTTTCTCCTCATCAGCTGAAGAAAGTAGCGAACTTTACCAAATGGGATCAGGCACAGCAGAGGCCTTCATTCTCAATTGCCTAGCAACAACATTTCAAGTTTGTGCTCACTGATATCTTTGCTCCTGAGCCCCTACCCCAGTCTTGAAGTCATAAAACTTGCAGCAAGGACCCAGCGAATAAAGCTCCGTTTCCTGCGAAGTCGCCATGGCTTTGCCCCTACAACGATTGAGCAGTACATTCCTGGTTGAGCAGGCCGTGCTGCCTTCCCTGTGTGGTGAGAACCCGAAACATGCGAAGATCCTTATGCCGGAGTGTCTCAACATGTGCGTCCCCAGATGTCCCCAGTATATTGACCCACAATGGTGAAGGGGGAACTGGATTCTGAGCATGGTTCAGATGGAAGTCTGCTCTCGCTGGTGAATCGCTGCAGGCCGTGCTCGGAGAGCCATCCAAAGTGGTTTGCCTTCGATTTGGGCAGGACTTCTCGCCCGAGTGCATGAAAATGGATGAGGCGTTCAAATCCAAGTTCTTTGCCCAAACCAAGAACTGAAATCTGCAGAGTCTTGCAGGTGCTGTCGTCTGCGACGCAAGCGGTGGAAGCAGCGTGCGTTATTTACGAATCTCACTCGCAGCTTCAGGTACGTTGCTAGTCTGCGCAGCTAAACAAAGCAGAGCCAGAGCCAGCAGAGCCGAGGCAGTAGACATGCGTGAAGTCCCCGAATGCGTAGCAGAGTTTCAGCTGACTGCACCTGCACAGCTGTCGCTCGGCAGCAAAGAAGCAAACCAAGAGTTGCACAGAGCATCTGCCAGCTTCGTGCTTTGAGCGAAGCATATAAGGATGTTCTTCTTCAAAGGAAAGCCTCTGGAGCTCGATTTGGGATCTGGACCGCAAAAGAAGTTGGAATTCACTTTGAGCAGTCGGCAGGACCTAGGGAGTCAAGGAAAGGTTGATTCCGAACAGGTAAGCCCTGCTGCAGTATCTCAGCATCTGACAGGAGTTCCTGGACCTTGCCGAGGCTGTATGCCGTGGTGCACAGCAAGGCATGCAGCTGATTATGGCTCCCCGCGCGTCTTGGCCGTTTAATTTCAAGTTTGAGAGCAGCCATAATCCAACCTCACGCAGAGAAGTTTGGCAATTGCGTAACTCAAAACACCTGAACAAGGATTATTCCATGCAGTTCCGGTACTGACTGGCATGCTGGAAAGACCTGCGCATGGTCTGGTCAAGCTGGCAAAATGCAAAGACCTCACATCTGCTTGCGATTGTTTTAGAACAGTTACAATAATTCATCCGAAGCACTTGCACAGGCTGTTGGTGTTTGACCCCGTTCAGCTGGGGCGACACTGACGAGGCCGGACCTGTTGCAAGCGCACCTTCATAGTCTGGAAGCTTTGGCTGCGCGACTTTGGCAGGCGATTTTCTTCCCCGATGATGCGTCTGGATCAGGTCATGCTGCTTTCTATATGGACATCATGATCCTCATACCCCTGTATGACGTTGTATGACGCAATGTAATGCTTAACAGGGGTTGCCAAGATCCACCGAATAGGTTTGTGGGATACATTCAGACAGCTAATTGCTTGCCAGGTTTGGCCCGATTGCTTGAGGTGCTCGACTCTGCCAGACGTACCTTGGACATTGCCGCTATGGTCTGAGAGCGTGATGCCTGCGAGGGCAGATTCAATTCATTGACGCAGTGACAGTGATGCAAACCTGCGACGTTCTGAAAGGTCTTCAGCATTAGCTACAAGCCACTAGCAGAAGCACTTGTTCGGGCACACAGGCGCATGCGCAGCTATGAATATGGATTGTTTTTTGCTCTAGGGTTTTTTGAGTGGGGGCTATCACGCGCGGAATGTGCAATGTCGGTGCAACGTTTTGCATGCCGATCAGCCAGACAGGCGTGGTGTGATGGTTCGAATTCTGTCAGATGACATGCAGGCTGACTTGACCGCCAAATGCGGCGATGAAGCATGCATGCAATCGTTGCGTAGCGGCGTAGCGGTGCAGGCCAAGCAGCAAAACTCAGCCGTCCCTGACTTGATACGAGAGGGCCTTCAGCTCCGCGACCTGCTTGGTTTCAATGGTTTCAATGTTGAAGGCATGTGCTGCACGGGCTAACAAATGTGGAGCTGAATAAGGCTTGGATGTCAGTGAAAAGTTCCACATGCATCACAAGCCAGGGTGCTCAGTTTCTTGTGCTGTTCGTGGATGTCATAGCACATGGTGGCAGGGCTGGCAACTGTCTTGCAGAGAGGTTTGTGATCAGTGATGATGCCACCCTGATTTCTGGATCCCTCAATTGGACTCATGCTGCTGTTGAACGCGGTGCCACGGCTGCACGATGCGGTATGTGCCTTCAGCTTCAGCCGAAGAGTCTGGACCTGATGGGCCTGGCTGTCGCCTGGCTGTCAGGCAACGAAAATGTTGTCATCAGCAGGCGGGCCCCGGTCTGCCTCAGGATGCCTCAGGGTCTTCATGACTCGTCACGTATGTTCAGGCGATCTGCACTGTGCCGAAGGTTTGCGCTTGAGCCGGAGCCGCAGGTTGTGCTTTGACCTTGGCCGCTAAGCCTGCGGACCGTGCACTCAAGGTTTGAGAGAGTGTGGGCCGCATTTCAAGACGGGAATGTTGCAAAAGCACCGCCAGCTGAGTTTGACGGCAACGCTGGGTTCTCATTTTCTTCCTTCATGTAGCTTCGGGTCAGTTGCTAAGACGAACAAGGTGGCCGCTTTGTTCTTTCCGGAGTCGCAGATGCAAAATGCGCAAGCCTTAGCAATTTTCTGGAAGACAAGCTCGGAAGTCAAGTGTTCTTCCTGCAGGTTGGATTGATTTTGACAGAACTACAGGGTGCACGTTCAAGCATTGAAATTGCTGTCTGGCCCTTATACCCTAAGGTGTCACCTGAGTTTGCACGTCTTGATCTGCTTACCCACAACTGCAGATATTCACTCTGACCTTGGACACGTTGACTGACACGCTGCTCAAGAAGCACCAACAAGGCCTTAAGTAAGTTTTGAGCTGAGCAAATCATGGCTACCTCACCCCAAATCGTGTTGAAAGTAGCTTTATTTGTTCTTAGACTGACTGCTACTTAGGCTTTGTGAACCGTCAGCACCAATCCGCAGAGATAGTGCCCGCAGCATGGGCTGGACTACTGCCCAACGTGCAGGCCTTCGTGTTCGCATCATCACTGACAATCGGCAGGCCTGATCAGAAGGCCGTTATTGCAGAGCTGGATGTGAGTGACATGAGGCTGCAGTCCCTGGTGCTGATGCGCAAAGACTGCACCAAGCAGGCTTGGAAGTCCGAACAGACAAGTCGCAGCCCGAGAGCTTTTGGGGCCATAGCTTTGTTTCTTGTGAGCTTCCTTATCATTGTTGTGAGCCGAGATCATGGTATGCAATGCACCACAAATTTGCAACCCGCTTGCAGTGGCTACGGTTTTTGCCGGATGTCGTGCTCAAGCCGCAGTGGGATTGCTAAAGGCTGTGATCGACAAGCAGACGTTGATCAATGGTTCTTTCAACTGGACCGCGCAGGCTGCAGTTCATTCAAAGGGATGCTTACATAATACCCTTATGTTCGGCCGTGTCGAGGCTACGAAGGGGAATCAAGAGGATGCCATTATCTTCCGCATCTCGGATGCAACGTTTGCCAGGTCAGTGTTGGATCTGTAGACATAGGAGCTGAGGCGGCGAGCGGAAACTGGTGGCGGAGCCCAGGTTGTTTTGATTTGTAGCAACGTCGAACGCAGGCTGGGCAGCTTCCCACGCCCCGTGCTCAGGCAGCAGCGTTCAGCGCTGAATTTGACAAGATGTGGAATGACTTTGAGCCTCTGGATGGCTGATTGCTGCGAGGAGCGTTTGCCCAAAGTGGCAGGCCTTGTCTGGGAGCGTCACAAAGCGGACGCTGCTGGCTGACTGATACACGTCCGTGCCAAACCTGGCTTGCTGCAGACAAGATCTGAGCGTTTGATCTTTCGTTGCTTGGACAGCTCTGCGCACAAAGTGGAGCCTGGACTGAGCTCAATGGTCCCAATAAAATGAACATCTGCGGGCTCAAGTTTCCTCTGAACGCTAGAGCGGCCGAACGCATCTTGTGCAAGGTGCCTGATAGTTTATGTCTCAGTATGCTGTCTCCTGTGTTGCTTTGACTTTGCTACTCCAGGCCCAAAGTGCCAGCAAGGTTCCCTGCAGGCAAGGGCCACGCCCCCTGTGCAGACCGAGAATGTGCCACATGGCATCGTGGCAGGCACGGAAGACCGTGGCTGCAGTGGAAGACCGGGCAAATGCTCCTCAAGGCAGGACCAGGAGGCTGAAACATGGTATCCTCAAGGACCCTAAGGATGTATTCAGTTATGCGAGTTATCAGGGGTCCTGGTAGGCAGGGGTTGGGTGGGCGTTATCTATCTTCACTTCTTTCGAAAGCCAAGTTGAATCTGCAGGCATGGCTGCCACTGCTACTGGCGCCTGCAAGAGGCAACCAATGGTTCGTGTTCAATCCTCCAGGCACCTGTGATATATGCTCTGAGGACAGTTTCAGTTTGAGATCCCGGCAGAGATGCTCCAAGGGATGATGGGAGGCGGCGTGGTTGCTCAGAAAGCAGAGCCTGAATTTGTCGAGTGAATTGTGCCAGGCGGAATGATGGGAGGCGGTGGTGGCGGCGGCAGAAAAGGTGCTGAGTGGCCAAAGACAGAGAATTCTGAAATAGCTGCCTTGAGCTAAGCTTCTTTGTCGTCTTCGACCCTAGCAAGTCGCTGGTTCACCTTGCCGGAATGCTTGTCAAGGCTGAATTTGAGCAACTGGCTCAGCTTATCCATTTGTTCATGAGTTCAATTTATGTTTGAGACCATGGTCCATCTTTGACTGCAAGGTGGCTGGTGAACACAGAATGGGAATCTTGACAATATGAAGTCAAGCAAGGGCAAGGGTTTCACATGGCAGGGGGTCCTCAGAATCGAGATGCAGCTGGTGACCCTAAGAATAGGTAGAGATCATGATGGGATATGGGGTCCCTGATCGGAATTACGCAGAGACATACATAAATCTATATGTATACATATATATATATGTATATACTCAAATGCAAGTCTGATTGGCTGCTGGAGACATTTGCAGACGCATATGGGCGCATAGAAGGATCCATAGCCATAGCCACATTCGATCCTAAAATTACTGCTCCTCTGGAGACAATCACACAACAGGCTATTCAAAGGCTTGACCCTTTCTAGTGCCAATGCTGGCGCCCGAAGGCTTTCACAATTGGCGTGGTGTTTCGTTTGATCACATATGTGTGCATAGTTCTGGGCTTCTGGAGTTCAGTCTGCCCGTTCGGGTGGGAGCTCGCAGTGCTCGCTAGAAATATACTCGAATGCATGTGGACTGTGTTGAGGAGCATGTCAGAGCTTGCTCAGGAGGGCAAGACCTCCAAGTATCTGCTCCTCAGAGACGGCTTCGTCGAGTCGCCGTTGAAGGCAATCGCTTGAGCGTTCTCACAGAGGGGGACTCTTCATATTCACCTGTTTTTTTTTGGGTTCCTTTAGCATACCCCCTTCTTGAGCAGCTCCCAAATTCAGCTGCAGAAGCAATCTTGAATTATTCCTGCCTGAAGGAGTGTGAGCCAGAGGGCCACTGTCTGTGGGCTGCAAATAATGGCCGAGTCTTGATCAACACGCCGAAGTTGAAGGCAAGACACTCAGGCTTGCAATCTTCCAGAGTTAAGTGGACGATTTTATGTGCTGAGGTGGTGAAGTTTTCTGTGGAGGGTCTAGAGGGCATCGACAAGAAGAAGCTCGAGAACAAGGCTTTGATGGTGAGCTTTCCTGAAACCTTTCTTTGGGCATGCTGCGTAGTGGGCAGGATGAAGCAGAACTGAAGAAGGTCTCTTTAGTTATGGAGAAGCCAAGCTGCCCTGCTGCACTGGGATACATGCCATTTACCATGTAATTCGTTGGACTACCTGTAGCATGATGAAAGCGAGGCAAGAGCACTGGCAAGAAAGGCCTGTCAAGCAAAGCTTGGTGCTTGATCTTGAGACATCTTTAGTGCAGCTGTCCGATCCCGAAGTCCGAAGGCAAGCTTGACTTCAAACGGGTTGCCATGGCGGACGAACAAGACAGCGCAGGCCACCAGCCTGCACCATGGGTCCAGTATTCTGCAACAGGCTCGTGAGCGTTGTGATTCGCTACACAGGGGCAGACTTGTACAAGCTCTTAGACATTTCGGAGGATGCGGATCAGGCTGCGGTCAAGAGAAGCTCTGCAGCACAAGCTGACTCAGAGCAAGGTGGTCCACTTCTTTCCTCTGGCACCAATTAAGGCAAATTCCGACGGCTCTCTGTCTCCATGCATCCAGACAAAGGCCCATGTCTCCGAGCGATCGAGATGCTGTAGATCCAGGCATCACAGCATCCAAGTGCAGGTGGTGATCCAAAGGCGTTCAATGACGTGAGGGAGGCATACGAGGCCAGATTTGTTCAGTGTGGGCGATGGGTGGCAGATTCATAAACCCTATACATTCCTATAGAACCCTTTACAACCATCTATAACCTAACCACCACCCTCCACAAAAAACTAAAAGATTGTTCATTATGATTCATCCCCATGTGCAAGGTTCTTGGAGATCCTGAGAAGAGGAGGCTCCACATCTGAATCGGCCATGAGACATCGGACAAGCTGTACCCCTTCAAAGGGCCCTGTAGGGCTTAGAGGCTTCAGGGTTCAAGATCTATAACCCTTTGAACGGGCCTATCGTTTCAATTTCCATGTTTTTTTCCCGTTCTCCATTCTTGCGGGATTGGCCATGAAAGATTTGTGGTTGTTGGGTCTGACTGGACAAACTGTTGTGTGTCTTTCTGCCTAGGCAATACAACCTCGGCTGCTTGGCTGCAATCTTGAAGCCATTGGCTTTAAAAGATTGCAAGCTAATGTTGATATCGAGAGGATGGTAACCAGTTCTTTGCTCTTCCTTCCCTGATGAGCTTCACCTCAAACCCTAAGCCCTGCAGCTTTCGTGAATTCAGCTGCGGAGCGAGGTGGAATGCAGCTCGTGAAGAATGTTGAAATTGCCTGGAAGGAAGTGGAGGGACAGAAAGCGCAGATGGCCGCTCGGCTCCGGTACTGGAATCATGTCGGGTGGTTCCTTTTCAACATCAAACAAAGAGCGGCAAGTTGTGGACAGGATGCGCAGCTGAATCAGGCCTGTAGCTGCCGTACTTTTGGTGATGTGGCAAAAGTTCGTTTTTCTGGCTGGATGAGCAGACAGCGCATTTTCGGCCATGTTTCCACAGTGTCTTGAGAGGTTCCGAAAAATCATCCGCAGTATGCCATGTTGATGCCCCAGCTGTTCAAGCACTCCTATCATCACAAGGACCGGGCCATTGTTATGAGCACGCGGCTCTTGTGCAGGTTCAAGCAACAGATCGAGCAGCAGAAGCGCCAGTTTGACAAGGCTCTAGCCCGTTGAAGTAGAGTTTTAGTAGCCATGCAGCCCTTGGGACAGCTTCAGGCAAGGGTGGAGTCACAGATCCAGCAAAAGCTGCAGAGCGATGAGCTGGAGGTGGCTCCCAGAAAGCAACGAAGTTTGTCCTTATAAGGGGTTTATATGAGGGTTCTATTGAGATAATTGAAAATAAGATGGAAACTACTATTTAGGGTTTAGTGTTTAGGAGATTGTGCGAATCTGAATTATGGCGCTGCATCGATGTTCTTAGGTGGCATGTGCTTGCGTGTCGCACTGCATTGGACTGCTTCAGAATTCGGCGCAGGTATCTGGCACAAGCACTTAAAGCCTCTCCCGTCCATTTTGCCCCACTTGCAATGTCTCTCGAAGAAGTTGCACAGGGCTTGCTGTGGATGACAGGCACTGACACAACAAAGTGGTCAACAAAGCCAAGGCGATTGAAGTGTCAGCGTTCGGCCCAGAGCACAGCTACAACATGCCGGATCTTGGCGGAAAGGCATGTGCCAACAATGTAGGCCAGGATTTGGGATGCGGTTTTCTGGCTGGCGCTGCTGCTTGCCATCTCGCAGCCGGGGTCGCCATCTGTACTACAATCCCAGTTGCTATCCCGCTGATTGTAGGATTGTGCGAGGGCTTCGCAAGTTCGAACTTCAGTCTTCAGCTCGGGGAAATGTATCCATCAACCCTAACAACTCTCCGGTCCAGCCGCAGTTCGCGCTTCCGAGCAAGGCATCGACAACTTATCTATTACTTCGCCACCGAGGATGACGTGAACCGCGCGAAGCAGAAGTTCGTATCTACGCGCCTAATTTGGAAGCTGGTTCCTGGACGCACCATGGAGATCGAGCGCTGGGGCATGTGAATGCCGGCTCCAACCATTCGCGGATCTTTTATCAAACTCGTGACTAAGGCCAAGGAAATGCGTGTGAACGGGAGCGAGCAGTGACTCATCCTTTCTTAGTTCATGAAGTCATTTCACAGACCAGAGAGGTTCCGGTCAGCCGCTTGAAGCGCGGACTTGCTGCAGAATCAGCTTTCTTTCCACGGGCCAAAACTAAGAATCTGAGCGCGTACCATCTGAGAAGTCAGGTTGATCGATCCACCCCCTACGGGGAACTCAACTTCCATGCGCTATCATGCGCTATCGCTGAGAGGTGATGGTTCCCATTTCAGCCTCGGAGCTCTACAACGGTGTGGAGAAGAAGGTCTTCGTGTTTCCCAGGCTCTTCGCCAAAGCAGCTGCCTTGGCTGTACCATCTGCAACCCTCTGGCTGCCAGGCTCATGATATGCCGGGGTTGCAAGGAAGACCCAAACAGGTGGACCCTTAGATATTCTTTTCCCTCTACAGCACCTGTGTCTGAGTGATGACTTGTTGTTGGAGGCCAGAGTGCCAAGACTGTGGTCGCTGTCCACCAGAGAAGGTGTTGTGGCTTTTGTTTATTTCCGCCTGTCCCCGATGCTTGATGGGTACAGGTCCAGGTGCCCAAATATGGCATGACTCCTTTCGGCCGCCAGGTGCAATTCTGCTTAGGCAGTGAGAGAAGGTGTCTACAAATCCCTCCCTGCTGCTGACAGGTGGTTGGCATGAGGGAGAAGGAGCAGGAAAGTCGAGAGAGGTGTCGAGAAGTTGGGGTGGAGGTGCGCTTCTTACAGAATGGAAGGTGACGGGATGCATCATCCAATCTCACATGAAGGTTCCCTTGAAAATCAGCAAGGGGGCCAAGCAGGGGGCTTCACTGAAGGCTCCTGCCCCAGATTGGTGATGGGTCGCTTATTTGTCCGACCAGCTATTTTCACCGATGGTTGCTTTTGATGGGCAGCATGTTGCAGTTTCGGTCAAAGGTCCTCCCGAATGTTGGCCACCAGACACCAGGAAAGTTTCCTGGCAAGGCCTCGAGAGCGCCATGTGTGCAGCGGGATTTACGGATGATGCTTGGCCCGGGAACTTTTGCAGGTAAACTTCAAGGTTCAGCGAGGCACTCCACCGCGGGTGTGTGCTCTCGTGGTGTCCGTCCTGGAAGGATGTCGCGAAAACACCTTGGCATGTTGCACGAATTAGGCTTGTTCTATGTAGCAGTAGCAAGGATGGTGTGGGGCCAGAATGGCATCCGCTACAGACTCACAAAGCATGAGCGCTGAGGGCTTTGGGGCTTTTAGCGTGTGACGCTCAAGCAGCAAACCCTAGAGTTTAGGCCAGAGGTTGAACTACAACAGTTTGATTTCGGCATTCAAAAACCTTCCTGGGACAGTTGCAGTAAACGTCCGCATGTCAATGCGTCGGACAGGCAGCAAGGAGGATAGCTACAGAATTGCGGAGTCAGATCTGCATACGGCTTTTTCCTTAGCGGCTGTATCGTCATGGCAGACTTGCATGCGTGACCATTCAAGTAGCAGGTGCTGCACATCTCGCTGGAACAAGCCTTGTTCGGGTTCACGCCCCTTGGAGTCATTTGGAGCCAAGGCTTGCTCTAGATGTAGAGGCCTCATGCTAGTTCGGTACATGCCTACAGGATTTCCTGGCGACATCTCGGGGAAGAGACGGTCCGCGCCTGATGCACTGAAGGTTAGGGGAGATGTGCACTTGCCGGACCGGAGCATCTGAAGCCTGCGGATAGAAGGCGCTTTAGCTTAAAGTGTGAGATCAGGCTTCACCTAAAGCCTACTTAGGGAGCCAGCCGCCTTTGGCTGAGATGTTGGCCATCCTGGATGACTCCCACCTGGTCACATCCAGGTTGAAGGCTTTGTCAAAGAGATTCTACATGCCTATCCCTACCTTCAGCAAGCCGATGACAGTGGATCTCATTCAGATGATGAGGGGCAGGTGGAGACTTTGAAGAACACGTGAAGAACCAGAGACGCACACAAGACACTGAGGGCAAGCCACGCGATCACAACGCTTTCTTTTCGACTCTCCTGAGCCCCCGGAAGGGACGGCATTACTTACCTGTTGCACGGTGAGGAACATAAGGCCACCTCATGTGGTGCATTCATGTTGTGGCTCTTTTGACTGGTGGAAGAGTAGGAAATGGAGCCGACCTTGCAAGCGGTGAAGTATTTTACTGCATAGCAGACTTGTGATAGGAAAAAAACAGAGTGTCAACGAAGAAGACAGGTTGACATGAGTAGGCACGTTGCTGGAAAGCGCAAAAAATCAGTCGAAGAGCCACTGCGCGAATGCGCCCCAGACGGCTAGGTGCCCCTTTGGGAGGTCATCGCCTGAAGTTGCTTGGACAATGGCAGGCTGTTCGAGACTGATGAGGGATGGGTACGCATGGAAAGGTTGCGCACATTGCTGGTGATTTATGGCAAGTACACCATGGCGTGCACATGCCAAAGATGTCAGCTGGACAAGCTGCAGGAACTTTCATGGCACCATGCTGGATTGATCCTTGCGTAGAATAAGATAAAAATGCGCTTGATGCATGCCTGACACTTGAGTGCCTAATTCACAAGTGCGGCACGAGCTTCCAGGCGTGCCAAAGGAATGGAATGAAAACAGGTAGGCGCAGAGGGCGTTTGCTGAGGAACACTCGGAAGGAGAGGCACTGTACTGTACAGCTTCTTTTTCCCCGACCTGCATCCTTAGCTAATCTGCTTGTGTCCGGTTTGTTCACACAAAACGATGAAACAAACCAACCGTCTGGGGCTGCCATGATAACTTGCAGAAAACATGTCAAGGTGACAATCACAAAGGAGCGTCTGCAGCTGCCGGACGAGGCATGCATCCTTGTGCTGCCAGTTTTGTAGCAAGCTATCAAGAGTTCCTCGCCTCTGTACAAGGTGCTCCGACTCAAGGGCAAGGGCCTGGTCGAGTCGGGAAGCAAGCGTGGTGATCTGTATGTCAGAGGCATAGCAGCATAGCAATCTTCGAGAGGTCACTGCCATTTTATCGCGTTGGCACAGCTGGTCCTTCCCAGGTCAGACTAGCCGTCGATCTCCCGCAACCGCCGCAGGGAGAGAAGGCACCAGGGGCAAATGGCTCTGTGCCCACAGCTTTGCCATACCTGCTTGGACCAGGCCCTGACACTTCGAGCTCCAAGTTCGGAAGCGCAGGTACTGCAATGTTTGCAAGGAGCGCCCGTGGTCCATTCTGACTTTGTCGTGTGAAGGCTGCCAAGTTGGAGATGGAGGATGAGGTTAGAATAGAAGAAGGCGCCAGCTTTTGAGAAGTGCCGTCGAATTTGATGACTTTCACGGATGCCTGTACACTGGATCGCCAGCACATTTTTCCGCCCGGAACATTACCACTGATTCTGCAGTATTCTTGTCTTATAGTCCCTGGTCTTCAGGAAGTGCCTGGCGCGAGTGGATTGCCAGAGAGAAGGCGACCACTTACAAGGCAACAGCAACCAGTGCTTGGAGACAGCATTACGTTGTCCGAGAGTTTTGCTGTCGAGGTGCCCAAGGGTAAGACAGAGCTCTGACAAAGAGGAAAGGTTTTCTTTGGAGCAGTGCTTAGTCAGGGTTTCTGTCGGCACCTCCTTCTGCAGGACTTGCCATCGCGGGTCCCCTGAGAGTCAGAAAACATGGACATGTTGTCCAGCAGCGACAAGGATGTAGCGGGCTTCGGTAGCTTGGCTGACGAGGCCAGTTAATGAAGCATGCTTATTGTATATACGTTAGCAGCTGCAGGCTGGTGCTGTTGTCTCACCCGCTGTATTCGCAGCATGTCCCCGTGCAGTTTGTCAATCCTTCCGTTCCGAGTGTGTTGTTCAGAACAGAAGTTTCCGTAAAAGCCACCACTGTGCCCGAACCTTGTAGACACATGTAGACACGTTTCACGCAGCACCAGCCGTCACCAGCCGCATCCCAAAGACCGCCACCGGCCCGCACTTGCGTGCATGGCTGTTTTATGGCATCGAGGCGAGAAATGAAGCCACTGTCTGATTGCAGAAGTATGGTTTTGGCGGGTCGTGATAGTTGCCAGGGGCATCATGTGGCAAACAGTGAGCTTTGAGTCTTCTAAAACGAGCAGCAGTTTGCATGGTGCTGCTCTTGAGCAGACGACTTGAAGATTTTTGCAGAGCTAGCTCAAGTCTCATAGGCAGTAAAGCTCTGCATGCACCAAAGTTTCTAGAAGTAAGGTTATATAACCTCTGCATACCTCACAGCTTTGACAGTGATTCGGAGCGCCATGACGCTTCTCTGCGGCTCTGAGAGGGGCACTCAGGTATGAAGAGCAAGAAGAAGAAGGATACCTGCTTGGTAGCCACGCAGTGGGTTTTGCCTGCTGGTGCACGAGACAGCAAAACTTTCCTAGCCCTGACTGGCAGTGATGGGGCTGCAATTGATACAGGCCCTTCCGTCGGGCAGGAGGCACAGCGCGCAAAGGCATACGAAGCATTGAAGAAGCAGCTGCGGGATGAATGTACTTCGCAAGACCAAAGCAGGTATCCCAGCATGGCATTTGAACGCTGGTGGCTGTCTGCCAGAGATCATGGCTGCAGCAGCCCGGATCCGCTGCTTCCGACTCCACGAGTCCCAGAAGACCCTACGTTGATGTCGGACTTGGAGCATGCTGGCTTCTCACGGAAGGAGGCGTCTCAAGTGAGCAAGCGACTGGCCGCGGCATCCATGGCTGCCTCAGACAAGCTGGTGGCCTTGAAGAAAAACGGCAAGGAAGTAGTTGAAGTCGTGACGGAGAAGGATGATGAAGTGCTGTTACTTTGCAAGTCCGCTGGAGCCAGGATCCGGTTTTCAGCATTTGCTCACAAGAAGCTGAAGAAGCTCCACAAGTTTCACACGGGATCGGAGGGATCCTTTGAGCAAGCTGCCATTGTGGTCGGCCTCCGATATCAGGCCCTAGGTGGAAGTGGTTTTCAGTTGGCTTTGCCAGCATCTGCTTGGAAAGTTCTGCTGGAGGACTTTGCCGTGCAGGCCGAGTGTTATGGTGCAGATTAGTTTGTCAGGGTTCCTTGTAGTGGTTAAGGTTAAGGGTTAACGGTTTGTGTTTCGCGGCTGGCTTGTTTTAAACATTACCTTGCTGGTTCGGAGGGCTTTACAATACCCTTGATATTATGGTGTTTTCTGGTGTCATACTATGTGGAGTACTATCGCTACTGTACCATTTCTGTTATTGTTACCACAAAGGTCTAATGTTATTGATCCGAGCTATTTTTCTATGCTTCCATTCCAACGACTACTATTGCTTTAACTTTCAATTCCGATTATGTTTCTCACAACTGCTAATATTCTTAGCTTACCCTAAACCCTGAAGACATCTATGAGTACTGACGAAGCTTCTATTGCAGCTTTTATTCCCTGCCGTTTTGAGTACAACTGCTACTGCTGTGGAGGGATTTCCCAGTATTGGGGATACCATTGGGGAGTCCTCATAGTAAGAAGTATAGTATTTGGGGGGTCTATATTGGGGTCCCAGTATTTTGGGAAACTGTCATTTGGTTCTGACTAACATTGCTACTATCTTTCTTGTTGTCGGTATTTTCCGAGTACGATAATTGCCTCTTATCTTAGATTTGATAATGCTTGTTTTCCTGACAGCCATGTACATTACAATTATTGTTTTACAGGTTGTTCTCATCCAGATTATTTTAATGTTCACAAGACCAGTATCATATTGCAGCACGATAGGTGTTTTCATGATTGCTATTATTGTGATTATTCTGATCATCCTTATTCATATGACCGTTTTTGTGACCTTCATTCTTTGTATGACTTTTCTCATGACTGTCATGACTGTTGGCATCGTTGTTGCCATGATTATCATTATTATTTGCCATCATTATCATCACGGTTGTTCGTATGATTGCCATCATTACTGTTATGGCGAGGCGCGTCCTCACAAAGTGAGCTCTTGAAGTGGAGCATTTTGACACCGAATTGAGCTCCTGGCATTTCGTCACAAATTTAGATTCTGGCTTCTACTTTTCTCAACTTTCGACGCCACATTGCGCTCGGTGTGGAGCATCTTGAAGTTGCGGCTCAAAATTCAGATGCCGATTGAGCTCTGGTGTGGACCGTTCTCAAGTTTCGAAATTGAGCTCTTGCGTGGAGTGTCCTCACATTTTGGTTTCCCCCAACCCCCCCAACAAAAGAAACAAAACTCAAAACAACAAAAGAACAAAGCCCTTCAAAGCACATCAAAATCTCAATCCGTTCTCTTCTGTTGATTCCGGAGAAGATGTTGATTCTGCGAAATCCAATTTCGGTTTGGTCAGCTCTTCAGGACCCAGAGAAAGAAGACTTTCTTCTCTCCCGCTAGGGGAGAGCAGTCATCAAAGATTGCAAGGTGACAGACGTACGGCCTGATGCAAGACTAACGGCATTCCTGGTATGAGAAGAAGTTCTGGTAAAAGACGTATTAAGCTTTTGTGAAGATACGTTACGACCGGGAGCCCTAGCCTTTCATCTTCCAGCAGGCTTTCTGTCAACAAGTGAGTTCGTGCCGCACCCCGACTAAAGCCAGACACCCGACGCATCTCAATGGCCCTCGAACTCACGCGACCCGGACCGTGAACCCTGAGCCATGCAGGGGCGTAAAGGAACCAGCATATGCCGCTGGCAGACGCCACGCTCGGCACATCGCACCCCTTGCCGCTAAACAGCAAACCTCTGCAGCCTAGCTTCTGAATCCTTTGACCTGAAACTCATGGCGGAAAATCCTGAGCAAGCTCCACCCCGGATACCTTTTTCCTCACAACTGATCTGGAAAACGAGGCAAGGTTCTCATCACTGCCTTGGTGCCCGCACATTGCTTTAAGCTCCCAGCATTCAGGAGGGCGTCTTGCAAGAAGATTTCCTAATCTTATATCTCCACCCAAAATGGTCGTTTCGGACCCCAATGTAGACCCCAAAATACTATTATCCTTCTTGTGGGGACCCCCAAAAGGTACCCCTTGATTTTGGGAAATCCCGAAATCCCCAAATGTTGCTGGTCCTCTCCAAGTCTTCAAGAAAAGACCACCAGGTGTGTGGTGGCTGAAGGAAGCCCACCATGCCAGCTTGCCCCAAAAGAAAGGAAAGGGAAGCTAAAGGGGTTATATAGGGGATCATCTAATTAATCAGGGAATATTACAGGGATACTAGGAGTTTAGACCATAGCTCATGTATGGCAGGCAAGGAAGAGACGTACATTGTCACACAGAACCAAAGACAAGTCCGACTTGAAAGCTAATAGGGGGGAAGGCAGGAATCAAAGTTGCAGTGACAGCCTTGCAATCAATCCAAAAGCAGTTTCCATTTTCTTTTCCATTATCCCTATATAACCCCCATATGAACCCTATATAACCCCCTATATCATCCCTTTAATCCCTCCCCTCAGCTCCTCCCAGAACCTCCCCGGCTCTCCCAGACATCCAGTGCTCCCACAATTCCAAGTGTAGACGGCGGCTGTGGGTCCCAACTGCCCTCAAATCCTGAAACAGCTTGAGATTTGCTAAATGGACTAAACACCCAAAGTCCGAAGACCTCCGCGGGTTGTAATACGGACAGTTTGTTGACGGTTGGGTTCCTGTGTTAAACCACTTGATAGAATGTGTCTTTGCCTTTGCAGGCCGAATGTTTCGCATCGCCGCTGAATTGCTGGCAGAGAGCCTGGCCTTTGCTGTGGTGGTTGTATTGAGGTCTTGTCCCCTACGGAAGCCCGAGGTTCCCAAACTACTGCAGTGCTTTTCCGGATAGTCCGCAGCCAAGTACGCTATGACGGGTGGTGAGTAGGGAGTGAAGGAATGGGGTATAAGTATTATACCCTGTTGAACAGGGACTACGATAGGCTCCATTCGCTATAAGATGAGGATGAAAACTGGGCCTACCACATGCTTATGCTCGCGCTGCAGCTTTGCTGCTCGAACGACGCGTGGTAGAAAGTGGGACCGGTTGAAGCGGGCGAAGGCCGCAGCCATGGTGCTTGCCTAGGAACAAAAGTTTGCTCCTAAGAATCCCGGACGTCCTCCTTCAGCCTCATCTCTCTGAGGCTTTGCCACGGCAATGGAGGCGCTCGCTGTCCAGACGCAGCTCGTTTTCCCTGCCTAAACCTTAGCTATTTTACGCATTGCCCAAGCCTGCTGACGTGTCGATGCCAAGATGTGTTGCGGCTCTGGCAGTCATTGGTGCTGGCAGCATTGCTTTCGCAGGCCTTGCTGAGAAGGGTCGAGTTGTTTTGAAACCTGGTAGCTGCTCGCACAAAGAGTCTTCAGCATGCAGGTTGTCGCAGCCCTCCCTCCAGAACTCAGCGACTTCGGCCTTTGCAAGCCTTCCCCTGGGATGCAGAGGGTAATGCTAAGGCTGGGATCATTGAAGTGACAGCAACATCAAGCTGGACTTCAGGGAAATCGAGTAAAGACAGCGAAGATCTAGCGTACTTTCCGAGCCCTGGCCGTTGTGAAGTGCTGGCCTTTAAAATTTGTTCCAGGCGGAGAGAGCCTACGCTTCCTTGGCAAGATCCTATCCAGAAGTTGCCCAGTCCGGCACTTTTATGGATGAATCCGCAAGCAGCTGGATGCAAGAAGTTGGTTTTCGGACCGCGCTTCGTGCGCATCATCATATTAGAGACTTTCTTTGTGCACAGGCAAAGATGTCATCGTGAGCAAATATGATGCTGAGCAGCATGAATGGTCCCGTGTAAGCGTTTCCGTGAACTTTCTGCCGTGATTGTCACTGCCTTGCCCAGGAGAAGCTGGGTCAGTTCCTAGGCTCCGATGTCGCCTTGACAATGGTGGAGAAAGACCCTATCCTGCTGCTCGGAGACTGAGCCCCAGGGTTTGAGCTCTGCTTTGTCATCTTCAAAAGATTCAGACATATTCAGACGGTTAACTGCTGGAGGATACGAACATGCAGCAGCGCTCCTTCCAGTATTTGACCAGCCTGGAAGACGAAGCAAAGAAAGGCTTGGCTTTGCAGGCAGTGCAGAACAACCCTCGCTTGCTGACCGTTCCCGATTATGAGTACCAACGCACAAAGCCTTCATTGGAGCCTCCGCTGATTTTTGTTTGGTTCAACGACAGTATGCTTCCACAGCAGGTGCTCCCTCCATCTTTCTCCATCTCTCTTTTCCCCCGTGCCTCCCTGCGTTCCTCCCTCATGTGCGGTGGATAATGGTCATATCGCGAAAGCGGGGGGCAGAGTACAAGATCCGAGTCAGAGACAAGGCAGTAAATCTACCGCGCACCTCTTGCTCATGACTTTGCTCAGGAGGGCCTGGCCACTGCAGCCTCCGCCATTGATTTTCTACGACCGCTGGGCGAAGTGGGCCTGGCTGTGGCCATTTTCTCCTCCTTCATTGTACTTCTGCTAATTTTGAGGCCGGCCTCTAAGACCCTAAGTCTGTGTCACGCGGGCATTTCGGAGTCTGTAGCTTCTGTCACGTAAACGCACACACAGGCCTTGCTTGCTAAAGGCCCCTGATCTACGGAGTCGGTGGTGGCCAGTGCGGCTCTCGGTGAGCATTGATCCGGGATACATAAATTTTCTTCAGTATTTACTCTATGCATCGTAATGTTAGTAATGTACTAAAAGGAGTGATAAGAATGTTTGTAATAATACCTGTCATGATGGTAAGTTATTATAATAAGGAAGCCCCATCATTTACTGTACCTGGATCTAAACGCCCCAGGCCTCCGGCCTCAGCAAATTTCTCAACAGCAACCCACTAATAGTAATGTACTGGTAAGTGTAGTGATAAGAACATTTGTAATAACCCTAAAACAGACCTAAGCCTTTAACTCTAAACCCTACTAAACCCCGTAATACTACTGTTAACTGTCTGGGGCAGGTCTCTCCTTGGCTTCCTCACCAGCGGATTGCCCCAGATCCCTCGCCCCTGGGAAATTGCGGAGAGCTATGGCATCAACCTGGCAAGCGTCCGGGATTCATTAAGGGTTTAGGGTTTAAGGGTTTAGAGTTCAAGGGTTTAGGGTTTAGGGTTTTTGGATGTTGGCAGCTGTGGCAGCTCGCATTTCGCATGCAGCTCAGGTATCGTTGTCCTGATTCCCATCTATCAGGTTTTCACTGCCATCAGGAAGCAATTCCAGTAGAAGGTTCACAACCAATCTCGAAGAAAACCAAGGTTTTAAGGTGTTGGCGCTGCAGTCACTGCGTTGGCTGGCATGCGCCCAGCCCTCGCGCTGAAATGTTTAATGTCCTTACGACGAGCGTGTCCTGGCAAACGCCGATTCGTTCAACAAGGCAGCAGAACAAAGGCACGCCTCTGCCAGGAGTTTCAACTCCGCACAGTGAGTGGCATGCAGAGCGGGTTCAAGCAATCCCCATGTCTGGCTAAGCCCATGTCTTCACAGACAACTAAGGTGACGCATGCTTTGGGTCGATGGGGAGCTTCTTCTCTTTCAACCCGCGCTATCGCCTTGGTACCTCTGTAACATGACAGTCTTTGCATGCTCAATTGCTGGATATCCAGGCCTTTTGCGGCCTGCTGTCCGTCTCCGTCAAAGCGCGATTCAAGCACCCGCTTCAAGCACGACCATTCAAGCACCAACGATTCAAGCACCAACGATTCAAGCACCACCGATTCAAGCACCACCGATTGCAGCACTGCCCGATTCAAGCACCAACGATTCAGGCACCAAAAGCAGCCCGGTTCAAGCACCAAAAGGCTTCGATTCCAGCGTCACGCCATTGCGCGCAAATTTTCGAACCATTACGATTCAAGCAAGTGCACAGCCAAATTACCTGCACTAGTGGTATTAGGGTTTCGGGCTCAGGGTTCAGCAGTGTTTAGGGTGTAGAGTTTAAGGGCATGCAGGGGTTAGGGGGGATTTCAGGATTTAGGGTTTCGGTGGCGGGAGTTCGGGGTTTGGGTCAGGGTTTAGGGTCGCCCAGACCCCGGGTTTCTGCAATTTCCAGACATCCAGGTGAAGGCTTATCAGGTTTTTAGGGGTTTTTAGGGTTGAAGGTTTTTAGGGTTTGCGGTATTTTGGGCGTTCAGGGTTTTCAGGGTTTAGGTCTTTTAGGGTTTTTAGGGTGTGGGGTTTCGGCGCTTTAGGATTTTTTGGGTTTAGGGTTTTTCGGGTTCAGGGTTTGCAAGCTTTAGGGCTTTTAGTTTTTAGTTTTGGGTTGTTGGGGTGCAGGGTCTTTAGGGTTGAGTTGTTTTAGGGTTTAGGGTTTTTACGAACGCTTCCACAAGCTTTCGTCTGAGTCCAGCTTTGCTGATCTGTGCTAAGGGGGTGTGGGGGAGGGGAAACCCCCCAAAATGGTCAAATTTGCCCGCGCTGCGCGGACCACACCCAGTGGCAGGAGGGTTTTCGGGCGGCCAGCGCGCGGGCCTCGAAACTAGGCATGATGAGGGGTCTGTTTTGATGCAGGTTTCGGCTGTCGTTTGGGACGCCAGATGGCAGGTTTTTGAAGCAGTTCTTGGGCACACGGAGGCCGTTCGCGCTCCGCCGCTTCATGAAAAATGCACGCGCCAGTAGGCACCCTGCTTGAAAGCTTCTGGTCCCCGCGGGTGCAAGTCATGCTTGAAGGTTTTCAGGAGTTTCAGGGTTTGAGGCTTTTAGGGTTGGTAGGCTTTAGGGTTAGAGGTATTTAGGGTTTGGGTTTTTGGTTGTTTAGGTTTAGGGCTCTTTAGGGATAAGCGTTTTTAGGGTTGACATTTTTTTAGGGTTTGGCGTGCATTTTTAGAGTCTGAACGGTTTACAGTTCGTTTTACGCGAATTTGTTCCCGGACCAGAGTGCAAAAATGCGCAAAAACCTTGGTGCGGGAATCCTTTTCTTGGTGCATCCTTGTCGCGCGAATCCATGGCACGCGAATCCGTGGAACTTTTTGCGCCAATCTGCCTTTTGGGCGCGTATCCGTTTTCAACGGCTCAGCTTGAGGTCGTGGATCCTGTCGTGGATGTGTGCAGTCACCTGTACATCCTGCGATTCAGGAAAATTGCACAGCAGGTCGCAAAACTTGTCAGCTGCTGAAATTAGATGATGGAAAGTGAGGTCGTGGATCCTTTGAAGCAAACCCACCGTTTGCACCAGTGATTCTGGCCAAAATGCGCCAGCACATGCCCAGTGCTCAGGAGGCAACAAGATTTGTGTGTTTGGCAAGTAGCATGTGTGGCAAGTTCAGCCAGTTCAGCCAATGTAAGGCACAAACTCCTGGCAGCTGCCACAGAGCCACTGAGTTTTGTCATTGTCTGCCCCCCAGACCTGCGTGGCAAAAGCTTCTCAATTGAAGGGTTTCTGAGCTCAGGCCATTGCAAACTGGGATAATCCGGAGGCCTGGCATGCCTTGCCCAGACATTCCAAACGCAGCACATGCAGTAACTGTGCTCAGACGCCTACAGGTCACGGCGTTGACCGAGTCTCCCTATGCAAGGGGCTACATCCTGGTGCCCAAGGATGAGCAGGCCATGGAAGGACTCCACTGATTGGCACGGGTCCCTTAAGATCAACCACATGTCAGGTGTGGCGTGACGGCTTGCTGAGCCGCCGGGTGCCTTTGCTAAGTGGGCACCGTCTTCTTCTGCGAGCTGTTTGCAAGATGCCGGAACGAGGCTCCAGTGGAGCTTATGTTGCTCGTCTTGCAGAACGATGCAGCAGCCTCTGAGAAGAGGATGATGGCCTCGCTGGAGCCTCAGGCGTAGGCGTCTCGAAATCCTGAAGCCATCGCAGCATCTGAAGGCAAGCGAAGCTCGAGCGGCTCTTGCCCTAGAAATCTCCAACTCAGTCATTTTGGATGATCTACTTTGGGTAAGGTTGCGAGAAAGCTGCACAGGAGAGGCCGGTTTGCTCCTGCCATGTTTTCGGACCCAAGCAGTTTTCATGCAGAAGGCGAGGGCGCTTGGTCCAAGAAAGAGGCCAGCTTGGGGCCTTGCTGCCTTGCTCTCATTTGTCTTAGCAAGAAATTCGGAACATGCATCGAAGGCCTCACCCAGACGCAGCAACAGCACCCATGGAGGACAGTCCAACTCCTCTGGCAAGCTGTGGCAAGGTTTTGCATTTTTCTTCCAGGCAGCTGCTGAAGAGAGCACGAATGGCTCAACAGAGCCAACTTGCCAAGCAGGCTCCCACGTTGGGTTTGGCTTCCGGACAGCAGAGCAGATGTGCATAATGTAGACTAAAAACGGCTTTGGTAAAGGCTTGTGACCATTCGCTGCGAGGCGGCTCAGTTTCTTCTCGTCCTCGGCCACCTCGTCCAGGCCTTGTCCAGTGCACGAAGCACGAGTCAGATGAAGGACAATTTAAGGCTGCTTGCCCCTCGTTGTTTTTTTTTTTCCGTCCAGTGGATGCCTGCATACGCCTGCCTTTCATCTGTCTCGCCCGCCTATCGGCTGACCCTTCTTCGGTGTCCAACTGACGCCTGTCTTTCGGCCGGGTGAATCATCCATCCAACTCACGCTGCAACCCTGGAACGCGTTGAGCTTGTCTGTCAGCACAAATGCTGAGTGTGGCAGATGTGAAATGCCTGTGGGTACATTCTGTTTGGCCAACTTCATGGCTCGTTTCGGCGAGCACTTTTGAATGCTGGATCTGTGCAGGCGGAGTACTTTGGCGGGTGCCTCACTGGCAGTTGGTGAAGTTGAAGCGCCCCAGCCCTAGAGGACATTCTCCAGCATCGAGGCCAAAGTCCTTTATCCGGGTCTTTTGTAACAAATCTGAGGTTTCAGCGCATGGCGCCGCCTAAAATCAGCCGCAAAGTCTTTCGGTTGGACAGCGAAAGTAATGGTCCGCCTCCGAAACCCTTGTGTTTTGCAAGAAGTCTCAGTGACGATTTTGCTTTCCAAGCTTGCGGCTGTTCTGAGGATGGCTGGCATGCACGAAACATGCGGTTTTGGCTGAAGGCCTGGAGTCTGTTCTACACACTTTGAATACAGAGGGTTGGATGACTGAAGGAGGCAGCAACTGTGGACGGCATGACGGGAGGTCTACCCCTAATGACTGCATACGGCTCATCTGTGCTCTAGTGCTGGTTCTCCAATGCTTCAGGTGGTGTTTCGGACAAAGATCTTGCCTTCAACCAGCGATTCATGCGGACATCACGGCATGATTCCGAATGTTGCTTTTCGTTTCCGCGGCATTACGTGCTTGAGACACGTTGGCTGTAATATTAAGTATTTCTCAGATTGCCAGGAAGCTGGCACGTGCCCGTGGCAGCTCCAAGGGTTCGCAACTTTGGTTCTGGCTGACATGCACGGCGAGAGGCAAAGTATCACCGCAGCCAGGTCGCTTTCAGCGTGCGTTGGACGTCGGAGCCGGCATTGGTAGCTTAGCCGCACTTCAAGCTTGAGAGTTATTTGAAGGGCGGATTTGTTGTACGACGTACGGCTGGGTAGCACTTCCAGAGGCAGGCTCGCCAAGCACGTTTTCCGACAGCATTGCGACTACATTGACCTGCAGGGCTCCCAAGTGCATGAGCCATAGAGCGTCTGCTTCTTGATCCCATGAGGCTAGAGCCCATCGATAAGCACTTGCAAGTTGCAAGACGCGAGCTGCACGAGCCATCATGGAGCGGGACACAGCTGACATCAGCTGCTGGTCCGTGGTGTGTTGCTCTTTCCGGTATTCCAAGGCCGGGTACCTTCATTTGTGCCACGTTGCAAGATTTTCAGCCGGCCACAGGGGCGCGCAAGCCTCAGCTTCTTGCACAAGACGCTTCCTTGATGTCACTCTGTGTGCGACGCTGAGGCTGTACGATTTGGTGTGGTGCCAGTGTGGCTCTCGGCTCGAATTTGCGAAATCTGAGCTCCGCAGTCACTCTGGGCAGATATTGATTCTTCCCAGTACTTGGCCACACACCAATGTGTGAGGTGGATCTTCATGTACATCACCGACGAAGATGCCGCTCACTCTGCACGCCTTCTTTTCTGAAGCTTCCGCAGCCTTCTCTGGCGGTGAGGTGGTGAAGTTCCTCCGGCGTCTCTCCTCCAACTTCCTTGCGTAGCTTGGACGCAAGCAGTGCTAGTTGAAGTTCACTTCTGCGTCACCCACCACCAGCGGCTGTGGCAACAGGCCAGCTGGGACCGTTGTGGTAAAGGCTCTGGGGCGTGAATGTTCAAGTGAATCTTCCTGCTCTCATGATGATGGTGAGCTTCAAGCACGTCCTTTTCACGCATGCTCACTTTCTTCTTCCCGCGTTAGGAGAACGTTGCCCAGACCCGCTCGGTGCTCAGAGAGCTTTGAGGGTCCGATATGGCTTCTTGCCACTTCAGGTCGTGCTTCTCAAAGGCAGCCAGGAGGTTGCTGAAGGCAGAACTAGGCTTAAAGTCTTGGCCCGAGAAAGGTATGAGACAATACCTTCTTTACATCCAGGAACCAAAGTGCCAGACGTTAGCGGCTGATGAAATATGATCTTCAATCGGCATTCCAGAAAGAACTGGAGAGGGAGCTAAAGCATCCAGAAACCTCGCTGAAACCTCATTTTTCATTGTCGAAAGGTCCCCTAAGCTCTTAGAGTCTCCCACTTCCGAAGTGCGAAGAAGTGGGCAGGGTTGCCAGATGCCTGATCCAGGTGTGGGCTCTTACTTTGATGACGAGACGGGAGAGCTCTGGCGAGAAGCGCTCAGATGGGTGTAGTGAGTCCAGACATGCATGAGACATGCATGCCAGACGAAACAAGAGTAGACTGATACAGTGTGGACATGTACACTGATTGTGACATATTGTGACAGGAGTGGGACATCATGCTGTGGTACCGTAGTTGAAGAGCCTGAGGGGAGCTAGGAAGTTGCTTCATTCCTTTTTGTTTGAGGCGGCGCAGCAGGTGCTGCTGGCTCCCAACTTTCTGAGCCTATGTCGGTCCTGTTCCCGCCTTGGCTGTGCTCTGAAAACACGTTTCTTTGGAGCTTTGCTGCAAACTTCGGTGCAGGAGAACTCCGAAGCACTACCTAAAGCTCTTCAAGGATAGTGGGCGTGAGCCCTGGTCTGGTGCGCTATGCTTTGTACAAGTGTCTGATCTTTCAGAGAGATCAGCACTGCTTTCCTTCACATGTGGTTCGGCGGCGTGAAGCTGTGACTGGTATGTCACGACATGTCAGGTTCGAAGTCCTCCTACGCCGGCGGCAGCTCTTTTCTCAAGACGAGATGTGCCGGACCGAGTGGCCTTTTCTCAATGAGCTTACCGGCGGTCAAATAGTTTTTCGCTTCTTGAGCAAAAGCCAAGAGACCCTGCACTCGGACGCAAGCATTTGACAGAGACCGAGGGCTGCAGGCCAAATGACAGAGCTATGCCGCATTGGAGTGGGGAGCGGGTTTGTCAGGGGAAGCTGGTTTTGGATGAAAGGCAAAAACAAAAACAACTAACAAAGACCGCGCGCAGAAAGATTTGTCCCACATCAAAAACCTAAACTCGAAAAAATATTTTCAGTGCAGACACAACAAGGCCAGAACTTCCTGAACGTAACTTTGTGGCAGAAGCTGGGGATGTCTTTCCGTAACGCTCCTCAACCAGTAATCCCACTATCCTGAATCCTAAACCTTGAACCCAAAGTAAAGCCCTGCATAATTTCCGTTACGTCCGGAGGGCATTCAAAGTTCCCATACTGGAATCTAGATGGAAAAAGCATTGTGCCATTATGGTGGCGTGGCTGCCGCTGGACCTCACCGGATCGAAAGTCGCCCGGGGCTCAGGCAGTCTTGCATAGCGAGTCAGAGCGCTGCAGTGCGTAAAGCCTACGGTTTCGGGCTAGGGGAGCTTAGAAAAGGAGCCGCTGGTTCTCATAAACTCAGATGACGTTATATCGTATTTTGATTGCGGGCGGTATTCAAGGATCTATTTTTCGTCATTAAATCCGTCGCGCAGAAGTGACCTGGCGACTTGGGGCAGAAAGGCAGGTAGGTCACTTACCAGAACCCATGGAGTTGGGTTGCCTGGGGGCCCTTAACCGGGCTTGCAATCAGGTCCGTGCTCCTAGGCTGGCTTGGTGAGGGCGGTACTCGAGTATCCGTTTTTTCATCATTATATCCGTCGCGTAGCGACTTGAGGCAGATTGGCAGGTAGGTCACTTACTAGACCATGAGCATGGGCTGACAAGGGCCTTTGACCGGGCTTGCAATGAGGTCCGCTTGCGTGTTCTTTGGGTTACGGCTATTTACATAGTCTGGGCTCAAGGGCTGGTAGATCCTTGTCCGGACAACTACAGGGAGGATGGGCGGCGAGGCCAACTGCTGGCAGGGCAAGGAACAGGGGCTTAGGGTTGTGAGGTTAGGGTTTAAGGGTGTAAGTGTAAAGTTTAGGGTTTAAGGTTTTTGCTACTCAAATTGACTGGCTAGTACTTCCTTGCCCGGACACCTACAGGGAGGATGGCGGCGAGACCATCTGCTGGCAGGACAAGGAGCAGGGGCAGGGGTTTAAGGCAAGGTCTAGGGTTTCAGGTGAGACCATCCGCAGGGCAAGGATCGCTGCCAAACAAAGGCAAAGGCGGTGGATCGGCGCTAGACAGCCAGAGCCGCGGCGCACGGCAGAAGGCTGGGGCTCGCAGCGTGCTCCTCGGCCGCAGGTACAAGGTCGGGAGAGGTAGGGATAGGGAGAGGTAGCGCGAGACAGGGATCCTGCATCCTAGCCTTGGCTCGAAACTTCAAGACCAAAAGGCCCAAATGCTTCAAAAACCACCAGACGCGCCCAAAAATCATCCAAAAGATCCCCGGCTTGGAGGCCCCCAAACCAGGAGAGAGCGAAAGGCCCCAAAGGCCGCAAAAGGCACCCAAAATCATCAGAAAAGGCACCCAAATGGCAACCAAAAGACTTCCGGCTTGGAGGCCCCCAAAGTGGGAGAGACGAAAGGCTCCGAAAAGCCCGAAAGTCTTCAACGCAAAACCTTAGACCCTCCGCTCTAGATCTTAAACCCTCATAATCTAAGGACAATAATTCGAACACGAGCGTGAAGCGTGTCGCCCATCACCGTTGCTCGGTCTGGATGCTTTTCAGTTTACTTTCGTTTTTGTTTCTGGGGCCTGGGGGAGGGCCTGGAGTCTGAAGTGGTTTCAGGCAGACAGCCAGATGATGATGACCAAAAGGGCCGAGGGCGTCAGATGGCTTCCAGCAGTGGCAGTCGTCTCTTGGCTTTCTCTTTGTTTGAAGTCTTGTGACTGTGGCCTGTTGGAGTTGATGGGGCTGGTTATCCTGTAAGGCCCGGAGTCGAAGTCAGAGATGCAGCGCTACCACCAGCTCTACCGCGACTATCCGCGACTATTGCGGTTAGAAAAATCGGACGATGCTGTTGTTCGACAAGGAGCCATGGACATGAGCAACTAACCTGGCTGTAAATCAGCACCTTCAGCCTGAAGGTCTGCTTTAGGGTTTAGGGTTTAGGGTTTAGGATATTTTTCTGATTCATTTCTGGCCAGCCCTAGGACTAAACGCTCCAAACCCCAATTCCTCTTGTGGAGGAGAGAGCGTTTGCGCACGAGCTTGGCGCGTCAGATCAGGATCTCGCCCTGGCCCGGGATGATCCCAAGATGCCAATTACTGAGGGAGAGGCGTACGACGTCAATCAGGTGGGTCAGCTCTAAACCCTAAACCCTGAACTTGCCCTAGGCCTTAAAACCTTAAACTTATACCCTAAACTTCTAAATAGCCTTGATGCCATTCTTGACCCCGAAACCCTAAGCCCAAGAATCTTTACGTCTCTACTTCTAAAGCCTTAAGGTGCCTTGAAGCTGATACGCCCCCGAGGATCCTTCTATACCGCATCCAGCTGTTGGCGACGTGGGAAGCACGGTACCTCGAGCGCCTTCCGCATTTGGTCGCTGGGCTTTGGGATCTCTTTTTGTGACTCCAAAGCGTATGGGGCTCATATTTTAGTTTTTAGGGTGTGGTTAGTTAAGGTCAGTGCTCGTGCTCCTGCTGAGGTCCAAGACCTCTGGAACTTGATGAGCCAAATCGAGGCAGCATGAAAGGCGAAAGGCCCGAAGGGCGGCGGCAAGAGCAAGGACAACATGAAGGGCAAGAGCAAGAACAAAGACAAGCTTCACAAGTGCCAAAGCAAGAACGAGGACCAGGGCCAGATGCTGCAAAAGGGCAACAGTAAGAGTGAGCACAAAGGCAAAGGCCAAGGCAGTTGAACGCCGGAGCTGGAGTGGCCAGGCTCGGGATCACTGCGAGCTCCAGTTGTAAGCAGCTACACACCCCAACATTTGTTGAGTCTCTTGGCGTTAAGAATCTATCATACGCAACGGGCTAGAAGTATACCTTGGATATTGCTCCACTTCACCAACAACTGCATAACGTGTATTTGTATAATACATGTATATAGAAAACCTTCAATGTGGACTCTTTTTTCGCTGTTACATTGTTACTTAGGATCCAATATCTATTGTTACAAGCCTCACGCCGACAACACGAAGACCAGTGTCATGCGATTTTCGAGGAGCAAGCAGCCCTAACTAAGCCTTGATTCTCGATCCAAAATTGCGCTGGTCCTCCAACTCGCGAGACCTAATCTTTCAAGTCTGGACCCCAAAACCTAAACCTTAAATCCAAACTCATGACCAGTTTTACTCCTCGTCGATAGATACGTAAGAAGTTTCCTGTGTGGTCCTTGGGTCCCTGCTGTGTATCATGCTCGAATACACCTAGTTTTCGTGCAGAACATGTTCTAACTCCCATGCTACTGTATAAGATTAGGTCATCTGAGCTTGTGAGAGCCAGCGGCTCCTTTTCTTAAGTTATTCATCAAACCTGGTCTGCTTTAAATCCAACCCCAAGCCTTGAGCCTCACGCATGCAAGACTGCTTTAGCCCCAGGCGGTTAAGTCCAGCAGCAGCCACGTCGTCATAATGCCATGAGGGGTTTTCCAAATCAAAAGCCTTTGGGGGCCCTTGGAATGTAAGGGGTATTATGGAATTTTAATTTTGGCTTGAGGATGTAACACTCAAGGGTATCATGGGGATTTCTCGTCGGGGAGTACAGACATCCCCAGCTTGTGCCACAATAATGTATGTCAAGGTTCCGGCCATGCTGCATCTGCATTGACAGCAGTTTTTTGAGTTTTGGTCTTTCATTTGGGACAAATCTTGTTGCGTGCAGTTTTCTTTTTTTGTTTTGGTTTTTTGCCTTTCATTCTAAAGCAGCCCCCCTGGCAAACCCGCTTCCTGTTCCAATCCGTGCACCGGCATCTCGGAAGGACAGGACGGTACTTCAAAGGCCGTCCTGCCTTGGACTATTGAACATATCTGATGTTCCAGAAAGACTTCTCGGCATAATTACATTGGGTGTGAGATTTTCTTGCACTTGCTCTGCAAAACATGTTTTCATGGTGTGGCGCTCGATTCGCAGCGTGCCACATTGAGGCCAATGATGCTCTTCACGCTTGCTGTGCCATCCCGGGCTGAGACGGTGTGACACCTTGAAAGGTTTGATCGTGGTGCCGCGTTTTGAAGGCTTTTGCTTTGTTTTTACTGCATTGTGCATGTTGACTGCTAGAGGTGAAAAGGGCTGCTGCAGCGGCGCGGGCGGCACGTGAAGCCAGACACGCAAATGACCATGCAGTGGACGGGAGCAAAACTTACATAAAGGCTCACGCCTGCGCAGGGCTTTGACTTTGCCAGTCGGGCTGTCCCTCCTCAAAGCTAAACCTGCGCGCCTCTTAGCTCACTCAGGTTGGCTGCCGCTCCACCACAGGTAACACCATAGACGAAGAAATCCCGGGTTTCAAGGTTTTAAAGCTTGGGATAGGCAAGGGTCATGCGCGGTAGGCCAAACGGCATGCGCAACATTGAGGCATTTACAGAATCGTGCAGGCATGTCAAGTTCGAGCTGGGGTAAGAACAGATGGCCATCCATTCCAAGACGTCACTTCGCCTCAGTAAATGATGATTGGCATTTTCCTGGTCGCTTGTCTGCTAGCAGCGGCCAGTTCCAGGGATGCCTTGCTCCAGCGCTTGCAGCGTGGACAGTCAAAGGCAGCCAACGCAACGCTTTTGGTTGGGGGCCTGGTGCGGAATGCAGCGCCACACCTGCCACTGCTTCGACAGAAGATCGAGTCCCTCACGAAGCATTTTGCAGAAGTGAAGATTGTATTTGTCGAGAACGACTCTACAGATGGCACAGGCAAGTATCTAGACAGCTGGGCAAGAAAGTCGAGGGCCAAAGTCACTGTGAGATCCATCCGTTTGCGTTTGTCGCAAGATGGCCGCATCGGTCAATATGCAAACAGGGGTGAGCTCAAAGCAAAAGGATGGGGGCATGACGGGGTGCGCCTTTTGGCAAGACTGCGGAACTTGTATTTGACTGAATTGCGCAAGGAAGCAGATGGCTGTTGCGCAGACGCTGGTGGCAGTGAAAAATATTGGGTGTTGATGATAGACGTTGATGTTGGGGTTGAGTGGACTGAATCAGCTCTGATGGAAGCGATAGGACATGAAACGCGATGGCATGTCCTTTGTGCTCACACATGGTATCGTGATTCGCAACTTTACGATGCATTCGCCTTACGTGGCAACGGGCTGCAAGCCCTATCTCCGGCAGTCTTTGAGGAGCTGAGCGGAAGGAGCTTCTTTCCTCATGCGATTTGTGGCCTGCAGAGGTCTTGGGGAGCTCATTGTGCCTGCATGTCCGACCGGCTAGTTGAGGACCGGGTATGCGCCTGTGCTGCAACTTCTGCAGCACCATCTCTCATTCCTGTAAACAGCTGCTTTGGCGGTCTGGCCCTGTACCACCAAGACCTTTTGCACACGTTCAAGGGCTGTCAATACGACGAAGGTGTTGACGACTGCGAACATGTGGCGCTGCACAGTTGCATGAGGTCCCAGAAGGCTGTCGTGGCACTGTACCCAAGGCTAACTGCAAGGGCCAGTGCCGCCAACAGCACATGCTGCATCGAGACATGTGCTCAAGCAGAGTCCTTTCCAATGGCCTTCCTGCCATTTCAGCCTCAGTTCTGGAGCGGCGCATCTGGGTTGCGAGTAGCGGGCATGCTTGCAGCTGGGATGTCATCAGAGGAGGCAGGAGACTTACAGGCAGCCCTTGAAAAATACCAGCAAGCCGCCCGACTTCCCAAAGGCGCCACCGTACCGGAGCAGCGCTGGGCTGCTCGGGCCGGGCTTTTGGGAGCCTTCTTGCTCCTTCAGCACAAGCAAGCTGACAAGGCGATGCAAATGCTGAGGAGTACTGGGCTACTGGCAAGCGCAGACCCCTGGGCTGCAATGATTGTTGGCCACGTGCATGAGCTTCTTGATGAGTTGGGAGGTGCCGCAGCCTGGTTTGAGAAGGCACTGACACTCTGGGCCGAAGCTCCTACAGTGCTTCGCCAAGAGGAGCGGCAGGGAGCTTGGATCAAATCGCAATTGGCGTGGTTACCAGCAACGCATGCTTCGGCACAGGAAGCAGCCGATGCGATGCAGAATTTCACAGCAGGACTCAGCCAGCTGGTGACACATGAAGGAGTGGCTGTGACAGCCATACCTGCAGCCTTTGACACCCGTGCGGTGGAGATGACTCGTTTGACCTATCTCGGGCCAGTACTTGTGCCGCACCTGCCCGAAATGGTGTCCATGTACTGCCGGATGCACATGCGTACTCTCCAGAACCTGGGTTTTGAGCCAGAGTCGTTGCAATCAAGTTCGGTCTCTGCCCCGAACGCTTCGTGGAAAGTTCGCGTTGGCTTCATATCAGGGCTCTTCAGCGATAGTGCTGTGGGCAACCTGGCCAGAGGGCTCATTTGGCCTCTTCCGAATTCTGTTTGGGTTGCGTTAGTTTCGCTTGGCAGCCTGAAGCGCAACTCATCTAAAGGGCATTCCGCAATGGTTGTGGATGCATTGTTCGAACGGGCCGATCATGTGGAAGAAACATCCTATTGGGGCGCCGCATCGCCGGGCACAGCAAATGAGCTGAGCCGTACAAGGACTGCCATTCTGCGCCTGGAGCTCAATGTGATCGTGTATTTGGAGATTGGACTGGACGTACGAAGTTTCACTTTGGCTCACAGCCGCCTGGCCCCACTGCAGATGGTGACCTATGGACATGCTTCTACCACTGGCATCCAGGTCCGCAGGAAAAACGATTTTTCCTTTTGCGTGCTTAAGGTCTGCAATCAGAAGAAGCCGCCTTGCCAAGTCTAGTTGCTTGGGAACCGAGGTATTCCCACCATCGACTTGTTTATTGGCTTCAAAGCTTTCGAGCCTTCAGTTTGGCATCGCGCCCAAAGTCAGTACAGCGAACAGCTGGTATTGCTGCCTGGGCTTCCATTCTTCTTGCCCAGTACCATGCCAGATAGCTCTCATACTCCTCCTTGGCCCAGGTGGGCTGCCCTGCTTGAGGGCTCCGGTCCTGGCACATGCCAGAAGCCTTCGTCGGGGCATGTCTATTTGGTGGCGCAGACGCTTTACAAGCTTGTGCCAGAATTTGATGAGGCCTTGGTGGCCATTCTGCAAAGAGACTCGCAGGCCATTCTGGCCCTTCGATCAGGTCATCCGCAACCGCAAATCCATAGACGCATTGCCTCGAGGATTGCAGTTCAGCTGAAGCCTGCCCAGCTGGCGCGCCTGTGCTTCGTGCCAATGCAGAACGCTAGCACATATTTCTGGATGCTGAAGCATGCAAATGTCGTACTAGACACCTTTCCCCATGGTGGTCACACAACCACCCTTGATGCATTCAGTGCGGGTGTACCTGTGGTGTCGCTCAGATCAGGGCACCTTGCGGGAGGTTTCGCTGCAGGATTTCTTGAAGCTGTGCGCGGGGATACGAACGTTGCAGATACTGTGCGGGACTGCTGCCTGGCAACAACAATCTCTGGATACGTCCAGAAAGCTATTCTGCTCGCTTCTCACTCAGACTTCCATGCTCAGGCACAGGGTCAAGTGTTGCCCTGCTTTTGTTTATCAAAACGTGCTGTTACAACGGGCTTAGGATCAACACATGCCCTGCATGTGAGGTGGCGATGTGGATAAAGGAGCGCTCCGACAGGGTCTTTCAACGTCGTGATGGAGCAGAAGCACTGGCAGAGTTCTTTCTGAAACTGCCATGCCGAAGAGGGCCTCCACATCCAGATACGGGCATGATTGGCGCGTCACTTGGCTTCAACGGAACTGCCCCTGCCGCCTCGAAGATTTCAAAAGCAAGTTCGTGCACGGTCAGGTACCTGCGCGAGCCGACTCAGTTCACGTGGGGCATCTTCCCGCTCGTGCTTCGTTCACGGCAATGGCTCTCTCATCAGGTTCACGGTTTAGTAATTGAAATGTACTCCGCAGCGATGAGTTCATCTTGAAGAGGCCAGTGAGCAGCGGGCAAATCCAAGCAGTTCAATTTGGCCTGTGCACATCTCAAGCGATGAGCACTTGAACTTCTCAGCTGGAAACTTAGTAGTGGCTGCTCCTGCAGAATGAATCACAACTCTGCCACCATGATTTTGCTCATGATCCCAGGCTGAGAGTTTTGCAACTGCTTTGGCTGGTCATGGCGGTCTCTCAGTGGCTTTCTGCTGTGCTCCCGTCTCGCTCATCCAGCTTGTCTCCTGGGCGCCACAGTTGGCCTCCAGGGTAAGGAGCGGCGAGCAGGGCTGGCTTGGTCTGGCTCATCACACCGAGGCTTGGCAGAGTCCTGTCCTCTCTGGCTCTCAGCCGGCCCCTGCTTTGCCCTTGCAGTGTGATAAGGACTCGACCTTGCCTTTGTCGGCCATCTACTTACTGATGCCGGACCTACAGCTGGCAGCGCTTTCTGTTGAATTCTGCGTAGTAATGCCGCAGTGGCAAGCGCCGCTTGTCACCAAACCATCTTGATAAATTCATTCGCAGACAGCTTGAAATGTTTTCCGTGAAGTTCCTTACCATAGGTTGGCAAACTAAGGCCTGAACTCGAGGCTCCCGTGCAGCATTAAGCGCTTTGTGGATGATCCATGTGTGCAGGTGCAATCCATAGTAGCCTTGCTGAGCTTCAACCGAGGAATTAGATTCACAGAGACTTGGGCTAAATGCCTGCAATGTCACATTGACATCGCTGTCTATTTCGCAGGATACAGGGATCTCACCTCAGAATCTCGCGTTCCCAGTTAAGCTTGAAATCATGAGAACCCACTTCTTGACGCTCTGCAGGGACAATCTTGAGCTGCTCCTGGTGGACACGGAGGCAGCTATGGCGGCAGCATTACCAGCCCCTCACCGGCCGAACTGGGAAGGTTTTCCATATCTAAACCTGGCCTTTGTTACTGGACGTCCTTTAAAGCTGCTAATTTGCACTTTCCGCAGCAATGTCAGGGACCTGTGCTTGGAGCTCTGCTACATCCTCTCAATGCTGTCCCGCTCGGGCCGCATGTAGGGGTAGACGGCTTGCGCTGACCCAAAGAGAAAAGAAGCATGCCCTTCACGGAGGCTCCAGAAGCAGCGCCGTGAAAGGCTGTATCCAAACTCTGTCTTGTTGTGGTTGTCAAACAGTGAGGACCGGCATAGTCTTATGCATGTCCAAACAACTAGAGCAAGCCAACTGTGCGGCAGCTTCATAGGGAATGCCTTGAGACCGTATGCAATGTTCTTTGGTGGCTCAAGCGGCCTGTATGGGCACACGGATGGGCTGATCCTTGTGGTGATGTAGGCTGGCGTGACGTTCAGATTAAAAACTGCCTGCACTATGAGCGCTGCACAGGCCAAGCACATGCCATGAGCAGTGCTGGCAAATGCCACTGGACCCTTCATCGTGCCTCGTCACAACATGGGGCTTCCTCAGCCAACTTGGGTTAGCTGCAACGGGGGGCTGCTACCTTCCTGTCTTTTAGTTGGTTGTGCAGCCTTGAAGAGGTGCCACTCAAGTGTTTGCCAGAACCGTAGCAAATTGGTTACCAAGACTCAGGCGTTATGGCCATGGCTTCATCATGTTTGCTGACTCCTGCACGGACTCTCTCACATCCATACTCGTTACTGACATCATCAAAGGACATAGCAACCAACGCCATCATACACCCCTTCACCGCTGGCATTATCATCATCATCATCATCATGATCATGATCATCACCATCATGATCATCAAAAGCACCTGCCTTGTGATAGCTGATCAGATAAGTGATCTGATGGCCGAGGTGAAGATGGTTGCCATAATCTGACAAAGTTTTCTTGAGCATATGCAGTCATATGATGGGTGTCACATTTTTTTCAGGCTTGCGCCGGGGCAAGGACAGTTCGGGCAGTTTACATGTTTGTGTTGATTTCGCGTGAGATGCACCCTTCAGGCCTGGATTTGGCAGGACCCATACGCCTTGCTTTGCGGAGTGATAGGCCGCAGGTTCTCAGAAAGTCGAGCAGCGAGCGCAGGACTGACGTTGGTAGAGCCCTACGTGAGCTGGCAGGCGCAGGAGCCTGAGTTGTTGGAAAAGGCTCATTGCTTATGGGTTGTTTTCTGCCACATCCTCGGCCGAGTCTCAGGCTGGGCCACCTGATGGATCCCATCTGGGCCGAAAGAGCCTGGGATCTGATGCAAGAGCCCGGGAGGAACTAGACAAGCAGTCGACCGGCGGTTCATAGCTCCCTTGTGAGGTTGTAGATGCACTTCGACCCCAGCCTGTGCGGGCCTTGACAAGCTCTTGCATAGATCGAGTGGACTGCGGGTACACTTTTGCTCGGGAAGACTGACTGAGCCTCAGGTTCGCCAGCGGCGAAGTAGCAACAAGCCCCAACCTGAGCTGCATGCGTAGAACTGACATGCTGCATTTTAGTGTGTCGGTGGCACGTGCATTCCATAGCCAGAACTTGTTATCATTTTTTTCTTATTTGGTACCTGCTCCCCACCTGATGACAACTCCTAACCTCACATCTGAACATCAGAGCAGCCAGATGAAGGTCTGTAGCAAGACCACACTGATGGCCGTTTTGAAAAATGATAGTAGGCAACCCTAATTTCCCATTCTCGATTGTAAAATGGACCCCACAAAGTTTGCCATAAATGGAGAACCAAATGGCTGATCAAACAGAACATGAGACGGATACCATCGTAGTATGGATCCCGGCAAGGAGATTCCATCTTCGTTTGAGGGAGTGTGCAGTGAAAAAGTGGTTCTCAGTTTTTGTTTCAATGATGAGGAATAAGCCTTATGATTAAGGGTGCGAGGATGATGAAGTTGCAATCGGCAACAACTTGAAGATTACCACTGCATCACACTTGTGGTGAGGCTTCAGCATGATCATAGCTCTGCTTTGACCTGTTAATCCAACATTCGATCTTCTCCTTGGCTCACACGGAGCAGCACTAACTACCTGCCTAGATTTCTATCTTTCATCAGCACTGTCTTTGGACCAAGTCTTTCTGTACATTTCTGTATGCTTGTATGCATGTCTAACGAGTCTAACTGGTCATGAGAGCTGGTCTGGCACATTCTCCTGGACAGTCGAGATCGCAAAGTCACTTTTGGCTGTCACAGCTTCAATGTGTTAGACGAACTTGGAATTCCGCATCCTCAGTAAACTTCGAGATTTGTCAAGTTTCCAGCAACAGTCGTGGCAACTGTGTAGTGCGGAAAGATGTAGTGCCAGCATGGTGTGTATACGGCGGACATGGGTGGTGTGATGTACCAGCATCGTCGCTTCATTGGAACCAGTTCCGGCAGTCTCAGCGGCTGTTCTTGTTGAAGCCAATGGACATGGGCAATGCGAGGTGCCGGAAGATTTAGGACCAGTGAAGGCAGTCTGATATGGCACTTCTAATGGGGTCTTCTAACAGGTCGTCCTCGGGATTTTCTGGTGATTGTAGGGGCTGGGGTGGGGTTGTAATGGATTTGGTTGCTGTGGGGGTTAGTGGTACTGAATGATGGTCATAGCTCCAGATGAAATTAGACATCACTTCATCCTAGAGAATATTGGGGTTATGTTGGGATAATGGAAAAAAACGAAAGTGCTAAATAAATCTGAACCCGGGATTTTCCGTTACCGGACCTGTCAGCTCCGAGGTCAGAAGCTGCACCTGAAGACGAGGAAAATCCCAGCGGTGAAGGCCAAAGCTTGCTTAGCCTTTCGGCTCTTTTTAGGGAATGAGAGAATATATAATATAGGGATTATATAGTTAGGTATGATATTCCCATATTCCCTATGAAGAGCCAGTAAGTAGCATCCGATGCTAGTCCTGTTGTCCAGCTTGGCCAGGCACCGAAGAGGCAGCAAAGCTTGCGCTGACAGGTCTGGAATAATTTCCAATCTCTTGAAAGTGGGAGGCCCCCGAGTCTCCTCCATCACCAATTCGGGTCTCGCGACAGGCCAGCCGTGAAATGTACAAGGGAACATTACACACATTCTCAAAGCGTACTGTTTGCCAAGGAAAGAGTCCCCACCAACGCTCGTGCACGTTTGCTCGCAGATTCTGACAGCCGGAGCTCAAGCTATGGCATTATCTCAGGCTCCTCGTTAGCCACACATGCTTTCAGGTGATGATGCCAGTGGGAAGCTTAAGGGGTGACAGAGGCTGAAATGGTCCGCAATGTATTGCCACAAGTTTCAGGGCCTGTCCGAGCAGCAGGAGCAAGCAAGGCACTCCGGCACTTCAGCCTCATGTGGTTTTGCTAGATTATGGTGGGATGACGTTTTCAGCCACTGAAAAGCTCGACATGTCTGCAGGCTGCAGCGAGTGCGTTAGCCGCAGAGGAGACTGCGTGCGAGTCCTTACCGAATGTTTATCATGACTGCAGCAAGGACTCCTCCACTAAGTTGAATCTGTTGCAGTGCAATGCGGTTGCTGAGGGCCCTAGAGGATGTTACAGTGGATAGCGCGCCGGAGCAGGAAGGTGGCGAGCAGGAGCCAAAGCCTATGTTCAACGAAGCGTTTGCTTTTGTTGAAGCTGGGTGTACGTCTGATGCTTGCGACAACATCATTTCAGAAACCCTGAATCTTTGCCGTGCAGGCACCTTGCCCTGAAGACGATGGTGGCACACATGAAGAAAGGCCAAGGGCGAGCAAAGAGCTGGATGTTGGCGCAGCGGCACGGCCCTGAGAAGTCGTAAATGGAGCAACAGCCATTTATTGGAAGATGCGGGTGGAGTGCTACTATTCGCTTTTGTTCAGCATGTAAGCGCCAGGTGAAGACAGGCAAGCTGGACTCTCAGATGGATCAGTCAGGTGGAGAAAGCAGCATGCAGACATGAAGGCTCACATCCGCAGCTGACCCCTCTGAGGCCTGGATCAACCAGAAGCAGAAGCGTAGACAGCGATGAGGACGCACGGAAGCAATGTACTGCATCTTCACCTATGATTGGTATAGATGGCGATGCGGCAGAGACTTGTGTGGCCCTGCGTGCGAAGGATTCCAATCCTGAGGAGGATGCAGCGGAAGACTCAAAGCCAAGGCACAGAACAGAAGTGGAAAGTAGATTTGCAGACGGGAGCGGCACAGGCCAAAGAATGCAGCAAAGCAGGCTGGGAGAGGAGGAAAGACGCAGGCGCATGCAGTTTCACGGAGAGGAGGTCTTACAAGTAGCTGCCCAGAGAGTGCATGGCCCAGGAGAAAACCGGTCGTCAGCGCGATGAGAGTAGTGGCCCAAAACTGCGGCATAAGACTGGGTGCACAACAGGATGGCCTCTGAGGCCCAGCACCAGAGCCAGCAGCAAAGGCGAAGGCAGTCTCGGGTCAGGGGAAGTAATTTTGTGCTTGCATGCTAAAGCCATTGAAAGTTAGGCAAGAAAGTCGTGCGGGTCACGTAGGGTGCCACGTGCCACTCCGCGGGCAGGGAAAGTGGAGACGCGAAATGCTGCTCGGTTATCTCCTTTATGCCAGTTACTAGTTTGCACCTGAAAGTGCATTCAAGGAAAGATTTGAGAGCTGCTCGAGGTTGTACAGTTCAAGTTGTGGCAATGGGACCTGACCCCAAGAACATAAAGATTGGATCTATCGTTGCTGTCAGCCTTGCCAATCTCCTGTCTTTGGAAAGAAGGTTGGTCGTATTGGTGAAGGCGGCAGATAATGGGTTGAGATAAGAAAGGGGTGAGGTTGCGGTTCAGAGGTGCAGATTTTTCTCCTCTGCGCATGAGAGGCAAATTTCACCCTGACCTCCTCGCCTGTCTGTTTAACATGATCACCTGACAAGAAACTTGCTTGCTTCTCGCTGGTGCTTCAGTGACTTTTGCTTGAATGGAAGGAGGTTTGAACAACTGTTGAATCTGGATGGTCAAAGGCATGACTAACCAAGTGATGATCATGCGTCAACAATGTTGCTTTTCAGCGGTGACATAGCATGACATAACATGGTCTCGCTGTCAAGAGATTTCAAAGCTTCACGCAACAGGTGAACCCTCAAGTTGCTGACGATGCTGCCTCCCTCGACC